ATTGGCCGCGCGCGTGTGGAATCGGGTGATGGGAAACGCAGCGCGGCGCTGCCGGCCCTCGGCGCCTCGCTCTCCCCCCGTGGCGAATGTGCTGCGCGGCGGCGGGTGCTTACGCTCGCGGGGTTTGGCTGTTGCAGGCAGGAGCAGGGAGGAGGCGGCAGCGACAGCGGCAGGAGCAGCAGCGGCGGCGGCGGCAGCTGGGAGGAGGTGGTGACGGTGGCAACGGCAGCGTCGGGGACGATGGCGCGACTGGTGGCAGTGTGCAGGGACGGGGAGGAGGAGTTCCCCTTCGAGCGGAGGCAGATTCCCCTCTACATAGACGACACCCTCACGGTGAGCGGGCCGGGCCGGGCTCGCCGCTCCCCTGGCAGCTGTTTCCCCTCCTCCCCCTCCCCCAGCCGAGCGCTGCGCACTGGAGAAAGAGTGTGTTGCAACTCCTAGGCGAGGCCTGTGCTCGGCCGGGCCCACGAACTCGCCTCTGCGGTGGGGCGCCCGGTAACCTCCGTGAGCCCCGAGCCCGGCGCCCCGCCCGCCCTCGGAGCCCGTCTCCTCAGGCTTCCCCCGTGGAGGCGTCTTCCTTTCCCTTCCCCTCCCGAGGCGCCGCGGGTGCCGAAGCACGCGTCCCGGAGAGGGCTGGGAGGCTCGCGGGTGCTCGGGGCCTACCCCTTCCAGAAACCAGCTCCCCTCGGGGAGGCTGCGTTATCTGGGAATGTCGCAGCTGCACTACCAAGCTTTCTCTTTTCTGTGTTTTTATGAGAGGTGCCAGTATGTGCGCCTCAGTGCTGAGGGCAGCATGACACGCTCTTTGCATGTGAAGATTCCACTAAAATGAATTGATTTCGCTAGAGTGTCCTCTTGCCTGGTCCATTAAAACTCTTGGAAACGATTGTGTTGCTGGACCATGACTCTTCAAAATGGGCTTTCTTGGCATTAGTTATTTTTCAGTTTACAAGTAAACCCCCCCCCTTTTTTTTTTTTCTTGGAGGAAGCAAAAGTATTGCATGTGTGCGAGTGTCAGGAGAAGCTGACGGCTCCTCTTGAATGCCCAAGACCCAGTTGTTGGTAGTGTTCCTTTTGAGAGTTGGTGGGGATAAAGCCCTGGCGACCCTCTGCCTTGTGTTGCTGTACTATTTTCTTTAAAAGGAAATGGCAGATATTTCAGTAGATTCTGAACAGGAAATGAGTGCAAGTTGCTTGCCACTGTTTCCTAAATGAAATGAGTCTTTTCTGAATATCTTTTGAAATTGCCTTGTGATGCTGCTGCTGCTGCTGCAGCTTTGGGTTCTCCAATTGTCAGTTTCCATAAGGTGTAACGAAGTCTCTTGATCGTGTCACCTTTGGCTTTTTATTTTTTAAAGGCAGCTGAGGTATTTTGTTCCTGAATTTTTTTGGTAAATATCTACTGAAGTTTTTTTTCAAATTTTATATAAAATGCAAGTCATTGTAGAGATGCCACTGTATGCCTTTCTGCTTCCCAGTCTCAATTAAGACTTGATTGAGTTGCAGCAATTTAAAAAGGTTTAGAAGAGCTATTGAAAGACATATTTTGTTAGAACTTTTTAACTGAAAGCAACTGTAATTAAACAGTGCATTTTTTTCTCCCATGGAAAAAGAATGATATGGCCTAACATAAGGCAAATACAATTTGTGTGATGCTTTAGGTAGTGCTTGTATGCCTTGGTTATGATTTCTGCACTTTTCACATTAAAAGTATAATGCGTTTGTATTTTAAGTAGTTAAAAAAACCAACATTGATCAAATTAAATCATGCATTTCTCAATTTTAATACTGATATGAGTTCATTTGTTGCTGCTTTCTTCTCTCCTTTTCCAACATAAAAACTTTTCTAGAGCATATGATTTGGTGTTAACCTTTTATTATCCCCAAATGCCTTTGAAGTTAAAAAAAATATATTCAAAACATAGGGAAAATTAATACAAACTTGAGAATTTACAAAATTTAAAAAGACTGGTTCTCTCCCACATTACCTACCTTTAGTATGAATATAGCATTGATACATTTGTTATGTAGTACCTTAAAAGTTACCAATTTGGGAGGTATTTTTATATTTTTTTGTGCAGTACTTCCAAAGGTTTCCATAGAAAAAGATATAATCTCGCAGGTTATTTATTACTGTACTTATTTTTTCAGAGATATTGGGATCAGACTGAGCTTGATGGTTGAGTTCTGTTTTTATTGTATTGTGGACTTGTGACCAAGGTCAATGAAGTTTAGACATTCTAATTTGAAATACCTCAGAATAGCATTTTATTTAGGAAAAGGTGCCATTTTTACTTTGGGAAGGGCTTGGGAACTATTACTTTTGGGTTGAAACCTCTGTAAGGTCATTGAATACTGACCAGTGAAAATTCTGAAGAAAGCATCATATTTAGGGAAACAAGTTTCTTTCAGAACCACTCTACCACATGCCACTTAAATGAACAGAGCAAACACCTGTTGAGGAAGAGAGAGGGAAGATGCCTGTAGCAGTTATACACTGGTTCATTGATAGTTTGATGGCACTGTGTCCTTGAAGTTAACATTTGGTTGGTCTTTGTTCCTGGGGGTCCATAGATAATGCAGGAAGGAAACATTGTATGGTCTTTATTTCAAGTAGTCTTAGAGTCCTCGTAGAGTCTAGATTTTAGTGTAGTTACAATATTTACAGTTTATAATCAGTTACAAATGTTTACCATTTTAGTAACAGAAGCTGAAGCTTCTAGCCTTAAGCTAACAATTTTAAGTTGAATTTGTAAAATGAAATTAAGAAACTTGTGTGTGAAGAAGTAGCCACATCTTTTATGTGGTATGTTTTATCCATGCTTAAAAGACTAAGGGTAGTTTAGTGGTTTTATTGAATATTTGAGTCCAGTGCTTATGCAGGTGATATGAGAAAATTCCAAATAAATAAGCTGGTGGCTCATTTAGGAAAGTGGTATGCTATATGGCCAAAATACATCTCAGTGTTAGAATTGTAAAAATAGCAGATGGATTATAAAATAATAAAACATTTTATTTGAGAGATATCTTTGGAAAAGTACATTATTTAAAGTGAGTTGTTTTTTAAAAGACGTTGAAGAGGCAAAATACATTCTCATAAAGTAACCTTGAAAAATAACCACACGCAGCCTCTGTAGCGCCAGTTCGATCCCCTGCCACCGGCAAGGATCCCACATGGCGCGACAGACCTCTCCTGTCTCGCCCACTGCTCCCCTCAGCAGTGTATTTCGTCAGTCTGCCTGTTCTGCTCCCCACTCTGACTCTGGTGAATTCTCTTACCCTCCTGCGCTTCTGACTGTACCCAGTGCTTGTATAAATAAATAAATAAATCTTTAAAAACAAAAACAAAAAACAAAGTTTAAAAAAGAAAAGAAAAATAACCACAAAACAAATAATCTTTAATTCTACTTTCCAGAAATAACTAATGTTATTGTAGCATTTGGTGTAATTCTAGTCATACACACACATACAGTTGAGATGTATTGTCTTCTATAACATTGTATGTCTTGCTTTTTTTTTTTTTTTAATTTTATTTATTTATTTATACAAGCATTGGGTACAGTCAGAAGCGTGGAAGGGTGAGAGAATTCACCAGAGCCAGAGGGTAGAGCGGAGCAGGCAGATTTACTGAAATACACTGCTACTGCTGAGGGGAGCAGCGGGCGGCAGGGAGGTCTGCGCGCCACGTGGGACCCTCGACCCTCGCCGGTGTCCTGAGATTGAACCAGCGCTGCAGAGGCTGCGGGCAGCTTTGCAGCCCAGCGCTCAATAGCTGCGCCACCAGGGGAGGCCCTGTCTTGCTTTTTTTTCACTAAGTATAATATTGACACCATTTTCTCTATTTTAAGCATTTTTAGTGGCCATGTTGTTTGGCATTGCTTAATTTAATAATTTTTCCTTTGTTGGACACAGGTGGTTCTAGTTTTTGCCATAAATAGTGCATAAATCTTTGCATTAAAGTATTTTTGTTATGCTTTGGAAGTACTGGATCCAACTATAAGAGCCTTTTACAAAATTCTTGATACATATTTTCAAATTGCCACAATATTTCTGGAACACTGTTTACCCTCCTAAATTCAAACCAATCTGATAAGGGTTTTTTTAAACTGAGACTTTAGAAGATGATATATGTTAGCATATCCACTTGGGGATTAGGTGTTTAGCATTTGTTAAAAGTTTAGTATTTAATGTTTTCTTTCAACTTTTAAGTAACCATTTAATTTTACCAAAAGTGACAAATGTTACAAAAAAGCTGCAAGGATGAAGAAGTAAATTAAGTAAAGTGACAATAATACCAACTAATGTTGGTTCAGCTTGTGAGAATGTACTAAAAACAAGTTATTTGTGGTTTGGAGAAACCAGAACAGGTACTTAAGAGTGAAAGTGGGTAATGGAGTCAATAAACTTTATAAAGCAGTAATTGCAGGACAATGACTCATTCTATTTTTAGCTAGCTTTGGACAGGCAACCTCATCATGAAGCTGAACTCTGTGAAACCACACCTGAAATACTTTACATGACTGTCTTCTTTGAGGTAACCTAGACTCTGAAGATTAAGTCCTGGAAGTAGTTTTTAAAAATGGGGGAAAAATAGTACTACTATCCTTTTTTGCCTTTCCCTATTTCTTTTTACCCTTTTTCATATCAACATTGAGGAGCATGTTGTGATTGACCAGGCGAGGAAGAAGGTAAAAAACCATTATCTTGAGAGTTCGAAAGGTAAGGACAGAGTAATTCATGTGAGTGCAAAGTTTCTAGCCAAGGTGGTGTAAAGGAAATACAAGAGAATATTTAGTATTACCTAAGCTACTAACAGTCAAGAAACACACAGTAATAGATCTGATTTTGACATCTGTGCTAGTTAGGTACAAATGAAATGGTCTGAAATGAGATTTTTTTTTTAAAATTCTAACCCTGTTATGGTTTTTAAAAAGAATTCCTAAAGTAGGTATTATCTGTTTACATATAAACAACAGGTTAGTTGATCTCAATGTGTTAGTGTTCTTTGATACCTGCTTTTATTATAAAATATAGTTCATAAGGATAAAAATAATTTACTTACGCAGAATCAGAATTTAGGGTTTCACCTGAGAGCCAAACTAGAGAAAAACTTCGATTCTTTGAATGTTCATTAAATCAAGAACTGGATTTTAGTATGTAGGTGATTATCTTAATTTTTTTTATGGTGGCAATTGATGTGTGGTGAAATGGTTTATTTTTATCAAGCACGAAGAAAGGCAAATCAAGTCTTTGGTTGCTTCAGTGGTCGATTTGGAGTGACCTTCAGTGTTGTCTTGAATAATACGGCTTTTAAGATTGTCTTGTACCTTTTTATGACTTGACAATTAAATTTCTTTGTGTTTTAAGCAATGTAGCAATTCCAGAAAACATGTTATCTGTACTATTAACTTTTTATGAGCTTATGGCTTTTTCTTGGGCCATTATTTCTGATAAGAATTTTACACATTTTAAAACATTTGAGCAGACGGTTAATAAATACAGTAGACAGTATGGCTCGTTAGATATTTTGCTTATTTATGTCAGTCATACCACTTAGAGCTACATTATTAAAGTAGACAGTGACCAATTTTATTTGTATTGGTGAAGTTAATATATAAAAGTTTTTAGAACAATGCCTACTATATATGAAATTGCATTAAATAGCTTTATTAGTACCACCACCTTTCTTTGGAGATAATTAACAAGACTATGAGAGGGAAATTCAGGAAAACTAGAGGGAAGTTCATAAAATTGAAAATTGGATGATTGATCCTTGAAGCTGTGAGACTTGAGCATATAGTCTGTGTGTACGGGAGAAGTAAAGTAAAAGCTATTGCGATGGAAGCATGTCTCTGACCATGGTTTAATGTATATAGAATTGGAAAAACAAGGAATACTATTTGATAATACATGTGCGTTGTAATAACTTTGGGAAAGATAGGAACACTACCTAGAGATAGCTACATCTAATACGTCATGTATTTTCTTTTCCTGTAAGATAAAATATACTTATAAAAATTTGAGTAATATGTGCATACTGTTTTTGGTTCTGTGAAATGCAGTGAAGTCCTCTGGATGTGGGGTTGGTGTTTGCATCATTGTCCATTGCCAGTATCTGCTAGTCTTCCTACTTCACATACCAGTATATTCCCGCCTTGTGATCAAGAAAAAGGTCTTGTATTTATTGCTTATACTTGGCTTTAATTTGTCAGCCCTCAGCTTATTTTTAGAACAATCATGTTTTAGGCTCTTATTTCTAATGTGAGGGTAAAGAACGGTTACCTCCAATAAACAGGTCCTTGTGTGTTGCTTGGTGAAGGGAGGGAATCTTTTTAAGGCCACATTCCTCTGGGTGGGTAGGTGTTTTGTTTTGCTTCAAAAAATTTTTTTTAATCCTCAGTTCACTCTTTAGGTCTGTTGAAGTTTAGAGCCCTTGTCATCTGGATATAAAAGTTTTTGTCTTAGCACAATGAGTTTGATACCTTTAACAATGTTTTAGTTAAGATATGAGTGTGTTACTTTGTTTTGAAGGCATGCTTTTTTTTTTTTTTTTTTTTTGCATTTTAATGTCTCTAAAATTGGGATGGATTGCTCTTTTGGTGACATTTTAAATTTTTAATGTTTCTTACCTAGTGGTGCGTAAATGTGATTCTTAAAATCATTGATGTCATAGATTAGTGAAATGTTTTATTACTAATTCCCGTTATCTGACATGTGAAACATCCTTAAGGTTTACATCCTTCTTATTCTAGTAGTGAGTTTCGATAATTGAATAAATATCTCCGTATATCCCTTCTGTTCATAAGTAGAGCAAGCAATTACTATGTCTGAGGTACTGTTGTGAGTATTTCATATATATAGTCATTTACATTCTAAGATTTACTATATCCCATATTAGGCAGAATAACAAACTGTCAGTATACTTAGTGTAAAATAATCAGGTTATTTGACTTATTAAATGCTGTCAATGGCTATTGCAGCAATCATTTAAATATAATCTTCACATCCAACTGATAGAGATTAAACTTATTTTTTAATCTCATTTTACAAATAAGGGAACTGAAAATCAGATAGGTCAAGTAACATGCCCAGTGTTAAAACATAGATTGTGAGTGGTAGAGCAGAGATTTGAACTCATGTCTGCCTGACTTTGGTATTTTTGCTCCTAGTAACTATACCATTATACCATTTCTGACTTTAGAAACTTGTGTAACTTGGATTTTGTAACATTTTTTGAACAGGGAGTAGGGCAGGGTGGGCTAATCTGGTATTTTAAGAGTGATTTTTATCCTAAGAATTTATAAAATAAGCTGTATCATGGGTTTAAAGAAAACAAAATAATTGATTTTTATTCTTTTGCATATTAAGATGGTGATGGAATTTCCTGACAATGTATTAAATCTCGATGGGCATCAGAATAATGGTACACAACTAAAGCAGTTCATTCAGGTAATAGTTATAGCATGTGTAATATATAACTATAATAATTATAAATAATAAGTTTTGTTTTATCTAAGCTCTATAGGTCTTAAGAGTTTATTGAAATTGTTTTCTTTCATTGTTGTTATAGTAATATATTTATATACCTGTCAAGTAAAAGGGATTTGATGGTATTATGTTAACATTTTACATGTCCATAAGACTTTCATTTCACTAGGTCATCTTTTCCTGTTCCTTAAAGATAAGTGTTAGATATCCAGGTTTTCTTTGAGAATGCATTGGTTTTCTTTTTGTAATTGTTTTTGTTCAAGTAAAAAAAAAAAATTTAATCCTGTGTTGTCAACTTACTGATTTTTATTTAATTCTTAAGCAGTATGGTACTTTATAAATACATAATCAAGGTAAATGAATGATTATTACTTGTAACAATAACAACTTTAAGCTGTTACTTAAATTCTTTTTCTACTTTTGAAGAAAATTTAAGTGAAAAGTTAATGGTAAATATAAGAAAATCCTTCTTGGAGGTTATCTTTTACACCTGGCTTTGCTAAGGCTGGAGCTGTTGCTTGTGGAATAACTATGACTCCATCAAGGTAGAAGTTATTTATTAGTGATTTACCCATTTCTCTACAACTGTCGTTCTCAGTCATTTTCCTACCTTGTCATAATCAGTAGATAACACTCATATGCACCAACCTTCTTATTCACTACAGGCCCAGCTAAAATAGGCCTTGTTCTCTCCCGCTAACCCGTAAGACACCTGTCCATACCTCTAGGCTGAGAATTGATCCTCTACATGACCACCATCCTAACTTGATTCCTGTAGCTAAACTGTGTTGTTAAAAGTTGAGAAGAAGAGGGCCTCCCTGGTGGCTCAAGGGGTTCAGTGTTAGCACTATGAAGCTATCCTCAGCCACTGCAGCACAAGTTCAATCCCTGGCAAGGGAGGTGACCCACATGGTGCAGCAGTCCTCTCCTGCCTCACCCGCTGCTCCCCTCAGCAGTGTATTTCAGTCAATCCACCTGTTCTGTTCCCCACTCTGTCTCTGGTGAATTCTCTCACCCCCTGTACCTCTGGCCTACACCCCAGCTCTTGTATGCATAAATAAATAAATCTTAAAAAAAAAAAGTTGAAAAGAGGTGATAAAGTTGCATTGTGTATTCTTTTGTTTTAAACATTTTTTAAATCTTAGGTGAGAATACTAAGCTTAATAGTCACTGAACAAGCACTGTGTTTCCAGATGCAGGGCTTCTTTTTTGCTATGCCTTGGCATATACTACTTAGCCCTGGCATCATAAGCAGAATTTTTTATTTATTTATTTTTTTAATAGAGGCATGTTTTATTTATTTATTTGTTTGTTTGTTTTGTTTATACATGCACTGGGTATAGTCAGAAGCGCAGGAGGGTGAGAGAATTCACCAGAGCCAGAGCAGGGAGTAGAGCAGGCAGAAGGACCGAAGTACACTGCTGAGGGGAGCAGCGGGCGGCAGGAGAGGTCTGCGCGCCATGTGGGACCCTCCTTCGGTGGCCAGGGAGCAGCCGGGGATTGAACCAGCTCCGCAGAGGCCGTGGGCAGCTTCGCAACCCAGCGCTCTACCGCTGCACCACCGGGGAGGCCCCATAAGCAGAATTTTTTATACTCTAGATTCTGGAACAAGGCAGAGAGATTTGTGCAGTAAACTCATTACAACATGGACAAGGCTGTCCATTTTGCCTTTCTGATTCAGTTGCAGATAGAGTTTGCAAGCCTGTGCCAGGTTGTACTTACTACACAAGAGTAGGAACCAGAAGTAGTAGTAAAAGATTAATATTATGTCTTTTGTAAGGTCTCTTCATTTTTCTTTCCTTCTTTTTCTCAGCGACATAGTATGCTTAAGCAACAAGATCTCAGTATTGCCATGGTGGTGACATCACGTGAAGTCTTGAGTGCACTTTCTCAGCTTGTTCCATGTGTTGGTTGTCGTCGCAGTGTGGAGCGCCTCTTTTCCCAGCTTGTAGAGTCTGGAAATCCTGCCCTTGAACCCCTGACAGTGGGACCCAAGGGAGTCCTATCTGTAACTCGAAGCTGCATGACTGATGCAAAGAAGCTTTATACGTTATTTTATGTACATGGGTAAGTATAATCAATTAGGAAAAAAAATGAGTTTACTAAATCTTTAAATTTGGTGATGGTGGTAGCTCTTTTTTTTTAGTCAGATCAAAACTTGAGTCTAATTCAGTAATTTTATTGGGTAACTTTTAGATGACAATAAATTTTAGGTGACGATAAATTTCTGTTCTTAAGTGGCGAGAGGCAGGCACTAAGCCAATATATAGTTTGTTAGGTGTGTTCAGTTACATAGAAAACCTACTAAGGAAAACAGAGAATGGGTGGGTAGAGCTAGTATAGAGAATTGTTAGGGAAGCCGTCTCTTGATAAAATGATATTCAATGTATCAGTGATATTCAATATTCAATATATGTATTTTTTTACTCAAGCGCAGTGAGTGAGCAAACCATACAGCTATTTGGGGGAAGGCAGAAAAAGAGCCACAAGTAAAAGGTTTAAAAGTTTGACATTGTCTCCCTGTTTTTTTGAAGAACAGCAAAGAAACCATTGTGGTTTCTTTCCCTCTTTGAATGAAGGAAATTGTAAGAAAAGATGAGGTCAGAGGAGTAATAAAAGGCCCAATTATTGAAGTGCCTAGTAGGTCATCCTGAGGTCCTTTTTTTATTTTTTATTTTTTTTAAACTCTGAGTAAGATGAGAAGATTTGGGAGAGCAGAGGAGTAACATGGGCTGACTTGAAGTTCAACTTAACTTTGACCTCTGTATTGAGAATAAACTGAAGGGGCTAGTAGAAGGGCAGAGAAGCAGGCTCTTTAGTTATCCATGTGAGAGATGATGGTGACCTGTACGGTGGCCAAAGAGTATTGAGAAATTACTGAATCCTGGATATATTTTAATAAATGAATCTGTAGGGACTTCTGGATAGAAAGGAGGACATCAAAGATGATTCTTAGATTTGGGGTCTAAAGAAAAGGACAAATGGTTTCCATTTATTAAAATGAGTAAAACTGGAAGGAGCAATTGTGCAGACCTCACTTTTGTCTTTTTTTTTTTAAGATCTATCTATCTATCTATCTATCTATCTATCTATCTATCTATCTGTCTATCTATCTATTTATACAAGAACTGGGGTAAAGGCCAGAGGTGCAGGAGGGTGAGAGAATTCACCAGAGACAGAGCAGGGAGTAGAACAAGCAGAATGACCGAAAACACTGCTGAGGGGAGCAGTGGGCGAGGCAGGAGAGGTCTGCTGCGCATTGTGGGTTTCTCCCTGGCCAGCTGGGAATCGAACCTGTGCTGCAGAGACTGTGGACAGCTTCACAGTGCTTCGCTCAACCTGCTGCATCACCTTGGAGGCCCTCAGACTCACTTTTGGATGTTAAGTTTGAGATACAATTGGGCGTCCAAGTAGAGTTCAGAGTAGTCTGGCCTAGAGATATAAATTTGTATCATCAGCTTATATATATTAGAGTATGTGAATGATAATGAGTGTTTACATATATATGTGTATATCATTTAAATTGATGCGATTAGATATGACCCCCACAAAGTGAGTATAAATAGGAAAAGAGAAGGGCTTCAAACCCTGGGACTTTCTTATTTAGAGGTAGTGATAGAAACTTTGGATCTTTACCTGAGGAAAGAAGCCTTGTTTTTGAATAGCATAATAACAAAATAATTTATATTTTGAAAAGATCATTCTACTAGCTAAGTGAAGCGCCTAGAATATAAAGACAAAGCATGGAAGGAAGGAGATCAGTCAGGAGACCAGCTATTGAAATTGACTAAACTGGAAAGGGTAGTTAAACATGGGCAATAATAGTGGAGGTGACAAGATATCATTTGATTCAGAATATATTTAAAAATTAGAGTTGACACACTTTACTGATTGGTTGGATGTAGGATGTAGAATGTGAATAGTAGTGGTATAGTAGAAGTGGTAGCATAAAATTTCTCTTGATGTCTCCTCTTCAAGAATAGTTACATTTAGATAATTTGTACAAGGGGAGTTGGTTGAGACATTAAAATCCATTACAAAATAAACTTGAGTACCCGATACACTGCTGCATACAGTAGTGTCAGAGGGCTGATGAGACAGATGTGGTATAGGGGAAAGAACACCTTGAATAGAGTAGTGTTTCATCATTTTAGACAGACTGGGGATGGATGGGAAGACAAGTGTACAGACTCTTTTGGGTTAGAATTTGATGAGAAGTTTTCAAAGTAAGTGAAATGTCTATAATGCTTAAACATAATTTTCACTGTAAGGCAGTAGATAGAGATTTTGAAAAGTCTAGGGGAAATGAATACTAATCAAACCATTAATGGTTTACTTTTAATCAGGTCCAAACTAAATGACATGATAGATGCTATTCCAAAAAGTAAAAAGAACAAGAGATGTCAGTTGCACTCCTTAGATACGCACAAACCAAAACCTTTGGGGTAAGTAGACTTGAATATCAAGATGCTTTGTTATTGTTAAGATTGTAAATGTTGATCATATTTAGTAAAAAAAAAGAGTACACACTGCTAATTTTATTTCATTGATTGGTTACATGTTAATGCAGATCAAAATAAATATGTCTCCTGGTTCTGCAGGCCATTTTGCATTGAGATTAATTTGGTCTGGTTTTTGAAGTATTTTTTCTTATATTAAATAAATTTCAAAGGAAGGAAGTTGAGATCATTGTAAGCAGTATTGTTTTTCAAAATTTGTGATATCATTCTTTCATCTATATAATAGTCATAACGTCTAAGTTATTCTTGTCTGTCTTGTCTCTACTAATAATTTATCAAGGATTTTGTTAAGGTCTTGAATTAGTTAAAGCAATGTGTATTCATGTAACTAATTTGCAGTTTTCTTCTTGGTTGTGTGCTATAATGTCCAAGATGGCCCCTTGGACTTCTGCCCCCATCTCCTAGCACAATGTCATAGTTGTCCCCTGCGAAATTGGCTGGGGGTGGTAAAGAGAAGTCAATGAATTTGAAGGGCATTTTTAAGAAGTAACTTTTATTTTAGAGAACAGTATGATGTAAGCCTATACTTAAAAAATTAACTTTTGACTGTGTCAGTCACACTTGACACCATTGTTATGTGGACATTTTCCTCCCTGATAAAAATACCTGGATGACCAGGTGGTGGCATGTTAGTAATCTATTAACAAGGGCTCTCCCTCACCCTCATCTTATGAAAATGTCAAACACATAGAAAAGTAGAAAGACTATACATGAACACCCCTCTCCCAAATACTTTTACCCAGATTAATAGTTACTAAGAGTTGACACATTTGTCTTTTATCCACCTTTTTCTTTGCTGAGGTATTTTAAAGTAGGTCCCATGCATCATGTTATTTTATTCCTATATATTTCTCATGCATCTTTAAGTATATGGACTTTTTCTTTATAACAGCAGTACCATTATATAATCCCTCGCAAAATTATAATCTAATAGCCAGTTCTTTTTTTTTGTTTGTTTGTTTTAAAGATTTATTTATTTATGTTTACTAGAACTGGGGTACAGGCCAGAAGTGTGGAAGGGTGAGAGAATTCACTAGAGACAGAGTGGGGAACAGAACACGCAGACGGAGTGAAATACACTGCTGAGGGGAGCAGCGGGCGAGGCAGGAGAGGTCTGCTGCGCCATGTGGGTAGCTGGCTGGGGATTGAACTCATGCTGCACTGGCTGCAGACAGCTTCATAAGTTCCGTTTTAACCCGTTGTGCACCAGGGAGGCCCTAATAGCCAGTTCTATTCAGATCTTTTTTTACATTGATTTGTTTGAATCAGGATCCAAGCACACACTATCGTGCTATCTACATGTGAGAGTACTCTGAACCCAGTAAAGCTCTATACAACATAAAATGGTCATCAAAGCTCTACATAATATGAAATGGTTATCTAAGGATAAGTGTTTCACTCACCTGACCTGCCAGTATCTCCAGAGATTCCTGACTTTCTGAATGCAGTATTCAGTCCAGTTTATTTATTTTCAAATTAGACAGAATCCTTTATGTTGGCTAAAGATACAGAGTAGTATGGTATAATGAAAAGTATGCTTTCTGGGTTATTTGTTGTTGTGGATTATTTTCATTGAGGAACTAAAAAACAACAGGTATCTTAAATTATTCATGCTCATTGCCACTCACCTTCCAAAGATAAGTCCTTCCGCTTTTCCTCTAGATACTGTCTTCTCTTGTTCTCGATGACTTTGCTTCATTGGTTATCTAGTTTTGCTAAATCAGTACACACCTATGTTTTACCAACTTTTAGCTTAAAAACAAAAAAAAGAAACCTCAAAATCACATTTCAGTTACAACCCCATCACATGGGAAGTTAAGTGTTTTAGAAGGTTGTTTGTTGAATGTAGAATCAGTATAAGTGAAGTTAGTTGATCTAGAGTATTATCTCCTAAGATAGCTGCAGTTATTCCTACACACCATATGAATTGCAGGCCAAGACTTCCTTTTCTTCATTTTGGATGGTCACTGTATACTACTGTCACTCTCAATTTTATGTATTTCTACTGTTAGGCCACCCTTTTTCTATTTAGACTTTCTCCAGGGAGGTATATCATTGATTAGATTTCAGCTTAATGATAGCCACAGTGTAACTCAGCCTTCCTGAGAGTATTCTCATATCCAAGCAAGTAAAAGACCAAGTTATTGGTGGGGGTAAGAGTGAGATCTGGAAGAAAGGTCTAGGCCAGAGTTGTAGACCTATAGATGATTAAAGATTATCTTAGAAATGATACATAATATCATTTAGAGGAGAGTAAGAGACAGGAGTGCTGAGGAGTGCAGTTTAATGGTAGAAAACAAGAAGCCAGTAAAGAAACTTGAGAAAGTGGTCAGAGTCTGTTCAGGTGTGTTGAATGCTGCTGAGTCATCAAAGACCCTGAAGTGTCCATTGAGATGTTCTTGAGGAGCGGATTTGTTGTTGGAAGCAGAATCCAGATCAGAATGGGTAGAAAAGTGAAGGCAATGTAATGTAATGGATTAAGCTATGAGTGAAAAGTATGGTTGTAGAACAAGGAAGTAGAAGGACCTTCTTTTTCAGAATGTTTAATCTTGAAAGTAGTTTGAAGGTATTCTGTCCAGAGAGATTATGGATAAATCTTGACTTTAGCTGTAGATTTTTTAAAAAGCTTTTTTTAGAATAAAAATTTCCCATTCTGATGAAAATTTCACATTTCCCAGCCCTGATTTCGCGAACCTTTTCCTCAATCATGAGAGGTTTTTTGAGTTTGAGAGTTATTCAGTTTTAGGAGGGATTATGGGTCCTTTAAGCATAATCAAAGAAAGAGGAACTATGGGAGTTGAGAATAGAAGGATGTAACATGGAGGGAGGGATTAGAGTTGGGGTTTTTGTCTAAAAAATGAGGGGTCCTAACTGATCCCCTTGATCTGAGCCTTTGTGAATAAAGGAGCTAAATTGTATATGTGACCGTATATTGTGGGCAGGTGTTGAGAAAAACATTTGTAGCCATGTAGAGTAGGTTAAGATTGAGATTTTCCATCTCAAACATCCAAGGTAATGAATTTCTAGGAATGTAGTGAAACCTGCAGAAGAACAGGCAGGAGCCAATTGTTCAGAATCATGAGAACTCAAGAAGAGTATCATTGAATGGAATATGGACACATACTGCTCTTGGAATGCACATCAGCAAAACAAAGCAAAATACATGATCAGCGCCACATTGAAACCTATGGGGGAGGGAGAATCTGGGCAGATTTTTTAGTAAGTTTTAAAAAAACTATTTGTATTGTTCTTAATACTAACTTAGGTTGTGTAAAGTGTTCATTTTAGCATAATGCCTTTAACTTAGTGGATGTAAATGTTTATTTACTAAGATTAGATTAATTTGTGGCTTTCCCAGCTTATAAATGTGAAGATAGATCAGAGTTTTGTTGTCATGGGTTAGCTGTAAAATCACATTAAATAGATCAAAACTTGTTAGAATTTTCTCTGTAGATGATCTGTTTTTATAAGTAAAAATATTTTATGTATTTTTTCAGCCCTTTTAACCTTAAAACATTCAGATAGATTTGTTCATAAAACGTTTAGTACATTAACCAATTGCTATCTTGATAAATGTAAATGTTAAATTGTATCAGGGAAACTTAATAGTTGAGCAGAAGTTTTTTTTTTAATAAAAATAACATTTAAATAATGTTTATTATGGCTAAAGTAAATATATAATTGTACAAATTTACAAACTTATTTTACTAATATCTTAATGTGTTTTAAAGAGTTCATAATTTTAATTTAGACTATAGAAATTACTCAGATTATGCCAGTGTCACTAAGCTTTGTACTATACTGTACTACAGTGAAGGGAGCAGTAGCAGTGTCAGTTCAGAGAAGTTAAGTACAGATAAGAGAAGTAGTGAAGACCACAGGAAGGACAGCAAGTGTAGGATCATTTTCCATTATGGACCTTTCCAGGGAACAGCCAGGTAAAATCAAGCAATCCTTTACTTTGCTTTTTAATAATGTTTTTCCTTATGTAGTTCTCCTTTTCACTAACATTTATTTCTTTCTGCAGAGGTTGTTGGATGGACGTATGGGAACTAATGTCTCAAGAATGCAGGGACGAAGTAGTTTTAATTGACTCTAGTTGTCTTTTAGAAACACTAGAAACATATCTTCGAAAACACAGGTAAGTCTGAAGGTCATCATAGTATAGTTAGACGGAGCATTAGTTGTCAGTCAAGAGGCTGACCTGTCTGATGTATTTATATAATAGTACTCCTGTCTTCCTATTAGTATCTGGTACTCAGCAGAGTTCCTTTATGCGATGACTCAGTGTAAACCTTCTTGCATTGAGCCAGCATCTCTTTTTTTGTAACTTTTATCTGTTGGTTCCAGGCCAGGCTTTCAAAAAACACAAAATGACTAAATCAAAGTGTACTTAATCACTTTTGGAAGCTCTAGTACTCCTTGTTTTTATGATAGAAGTATTATTTCATGGTGTCATTCTCAAAATTAAAATTAAATTAACAATTCTTAGTAATATTTTTAATATTTCTCCTATAATTGTTTGTCAAGACCTGAAAATAGAGTTGGAATTCATGTGCTTCATGTACTATAAAAGTAACTTCAGATTTTTCTTTTTAGAATACTACTTTACAAAGGAATTTTCTAAGTGTCATTAACATTTGGAAATTCGTAGGGAGGGAGAGTGCAGTAGGAAAGGAAACTGGTAAGGGAGCCATCTAGAAATGGCATTCTTGGGGGGAGTGTTACTGTTTTAATATAAATTTGTCTCATGTCGGGTTTGTGGTTGTATGTTCTTTGACCTTGGGACAGATACACACAATTACTTTGGGGACACTTCTAGAAAACACACATGAATGATAAAAACAGGCATTATCAACATTGGTAATTTTTATATGGCAGTAATCTAAGGACACCACCTGTATACTAGGTTTATTAGGTGTTTTCATTTTATTAACTTGGTTTCCTTTTTGGTGGATTATACCCAACAGACTAGAAAATGTGTCAATTATTTGGGGTTTTGGAAGGGAATGGGCACAGAACATCCAGATATATAGGTTCACTATATATTCCCTTTTCTTTCAAAATGAATTAGTGTACCCAAAAGGTAGCTTTTTTGCATCATAAATTACTAGTTACCAGAGCTAATGTTTTGGAGTTTCCTATAATTTTGTAGATATTTCCTGTGTTTTGGGGGCACTGTTTTTTATTTGTAAAAAGGTAGGCTTCATTTTATAAATAACTTAAAGGGTGGGGAGAAGCATAATTAAAATTAAGTAAGGAGACTACATTGAATTTGCATTGTACTTTTTATAACTGTACAAATTACTTCTGTGCCTTAAGTTTTCTCATTAAGACAAAAATGATTAAAATACTATTTTACAGGACTTATTGTAGGATTAAATTTGTCATGGGGATTGATGATGTATAGTAAGATTCACTTATAACAGTATCTAGCCCATAGTAAGCATGTTGGTGAGTGTGTGCCAGATTTACAAGTCCTAGTTATTTCTATCTATCTCATTCTTATTTCAGGTATAGTTGTTTTGTTTTTTAAAAATATTTTTAAAGATTTATTTATTTTTGTTTTTTTAATTTAAATATTTTATTTTATATAATTCTTATATCTTTCTTCATCTTTGCACAATGTATGCATTTTCATTTTGGTTATATTCCCCATACAATTGCACCTCCCCCCTTATTTTGACTCTAGTTTTTCCTTTCCCTGCCCCCCCCCCCCCATAGTGTGTCTCTGGTTTATAGTTGCTTGTTGATTTTGATTTTTACTTTGTATTGGTTAGTCTTTTTCCTGGTCTCTTATTTAGGTTTTAAAGATTTATTTATTTTTGCATACAAGAGCTGGGGTGTAGGCCAGAGGTGTGGGAGGGTGAGAGGATTCACCAGAGACAGTGGGGAGCAGAACAGATGCATCTACTAAAATACACTGCTGAGGAGAGCAGTGGGCGAGACAGGAGAGGTCTTCTGTCCCATGCTCTGTGGCTGGGATCGAACTTGTGCTGTAGTGGCTACTGATAGCTTCATAGTACTGCGACTTAACCCCATGTGCTACCAGGGAGGCCCTCAGGTATTGTTTATTTCAGTTATTTTCCATTGAAAATGATTTCTCACGGCCTAAATATGTACCTTTTTGGCATTTATTTAGTGGACTTTCCTGAACATTTAATAAAGATTTGATAACACTAGTTAAGAAGTATTATGACAGTACCTTATTAGGTAACACTAGTTAAATATTACAGTACAGTATATTATACATTATTAGACATGAAGTGTTAAGAAAGTGAAACCTTTTTTTTCTTTATTTTCAAAGATTTATTTATACATACATGAACTGGGGGTACAGGCCAGAGGTACGACGGGGGCAGGGAGGGGGTGAGAGAATTCACCAGAGACAGAGTGGGGAGTAGACCAGGCAGATCTACTGAAATACACTACTGAGAGGAGCACTGGGTGAGACAGGAGAGGTCTGCTGCACCATGTGGTTCAGCTCCCTGGCCGGCTAGGGGATCGAACTCATGCTGCAGTGGCTGGCAATAGCTGGACAGCGCTGTCTTTAAACCCTGTACCACCAAGGAGGCCCCCAAAACCTTTTTTTTTTTTTTTTTTTTTTTTTAAAGATTTTTTTTTTTTTTTTAATAGAGGCATGTTTATTTATTTATTTGTTTGTTTGTTTTGTTTATACATGCACTGGGTACAGTCAGAAGCACGGGAGGGTGAAAGAATTCACCAGAGCCAGAGTAGGGAGCAGAGCAGGCAGAAGGACTGAAGTACACTGCTGAGGGGAGCAGCGGGCAGCAGGAGAGGTCTGCGTGCCATGTGGGACCCTCCTCAGGTGGCCGGGGAGCAGCCGGGGATCGAACCGGCGCCGCAGAGGCCGCGGGCAGCTTCGCAACCCAGTGCTCAACCGCTGCGCCACCGGGGAGGCCCCCCAAAACCTTTTCTTTAAAAACATCTTTTTTTTATTTATGTGCAAAGTTACCTTTGAAAATAGGAAAAATTGCTTTAATTCTTACAGCTTCCATATATTTTAAAAGTGCTGTTTATGCTTAAGTTACTTAAGATTATGTACAGTCAAACACATTAAGCTACTCTGAGGGTTTAAAGTTGTAATATAGGGGGAGAATGTTCATTTAAATTTTATTATTGGTACTTTATTATTGGTACATACCTGAAAATGTAAATTTAGAACCTGAATGTTCATGTCTCTTTCCCCCCCATAAGAGGAATTTTTTTTAAACTGTGTTAAAAAAGCACATAGCAGATTTAGCCTCTTAACAGTTTTCTTCAAGTATGCATTAACAGTTGTTAACTGTATATATTGTTGTACGGAAAATGTCCATAGAATTTTTTTCATCTTGTATGACTGAAATGATACCTATTAAATAGCAGCTCCCATTTACTCTGCCTCCCAATCTTGGCAACAATTATTCTATTTTCAGTTTCTAGGATTTGGATTACTTTCATTAATGCATATAGGTTGAGTCACGCAGTATTTTTTTTGTGTGTGTGATTGGTTTATTTCACTTAGTATAGTGTGTTCAAGGTTCATCTGTGTTGTAGCATATGACAGAATTTCCTTTTTTACAAGGCTGAATATTATATACTGCATTCAATTGTCAGTGCTCATACTTTTTTTTTTTTAAGATTTATTTATTTTTAATTTTTTTAAAAAAAGATTTATTTATTTATTTATACAAGCACTGGGTACAGTCAGAAGCGCGGGAGGGTGAGAGAATTCACTAGAGCCAGAGCGGGGAACAGAACAGGCAGACTGATGAAGTACACTGCTGAGGGGAGCAGCGGGCATGGCAGGAGAGATCTGCGCGCCATGTGGGACCCTCACCGGCAGCCGGGGATCGAACCGGCGCTGCAGTCTGCGGGCAGCTTTGCACTCCAGTGCTCAACCACTGCGCCACCGGGGAGGCACAGTGCTCACACGTCTTGACAATTGTGAAAATGTGGCAGTGAACATGGGTGTACAGATCTCTCTTGGAACCTGCTTTCAGGTCTTTTGTTTTTTTTAAATTTATTTATGCATACAAGAACTGGGGTACAGGCCAGAGGTATGTGTGGGGGGATGAGGATTCACCAGAGACGGAGTGGGGAACAGAACAGGCAGATTGACTGAAATACACTGCTGAGGGGAGCAGCAGGCGAGTCAGGAGAGTTCTGCTGCGCCATGTGGGTTCAATCCCCTGGCCGGGGATTGAACTAGTGCTTCAGTGGCTGTGAATAGCTTCGTTGGTTGCGTCTTGACCCTTTGTGCCACCAGGGAGGCCGCTTTCAGTTCTTTTGGATCTGTACCCAGAAGTGGGATTGCTGGATCATTTGATAGTTACATTTTTAATCTTTCGAAGGAATGCTACACCATTTTTCAATTCCAGCAACATTATGCAAGGGTTCTAATTTCTCTATGTACTTACCAATACTTGTTATTTTACTTTTGATATTGGCTATACCAATGGGTTTGAGGTGATAATTGTGTGGCTTTTATTTGCCTTTTCCTGATGATTAGTTCTGCTGAGCATCTTTCTATATACTTGTTAGCTATTTATGTATCTTCTTGGGAGAAATGTCTATTCAGGTATTTAACCTATTAAAAATATTTTTTAACTTGTTACTGAATTGTAGGGGTTCTTAATATAGTTTGGGTATTAACCTCTTATTTAAGTTTGTGGTTTGTAATACTTTCTCTATTCTGTAGATTGTCTTTTACTCTATTGTTTACTTTGCTATACAGCAGTTTTTAAGTTTTATTATTTTTTTAATGATTTTTAAAAATTTTTTACATCATTGTTCATTTTTAACAATGATGTATTTGCTTCCCTCCTCCCCCTCAGGTGTAGTCCCCGTAGAGTTTCCTTCACCAATGTACCTGTGCACCATCACCTCAGTCCCCAGCAGTTTTTAAGTTTAATGATGTCTCATTTGTGTATTTTTTGCTTTTGTTCTCTGTGCTTTGTTTTACATCCAAGAAATCACTGCCTCTTCCAAAGTCTTAATTTTGTTCTCCCCTCAGTTTTCTTCTAGTTTTATAGTTTCAGATGGCAATACTTAAGTTTTTAATACATTCTGAGTTAATTTTTGTATATTTCTGTATTTTTTTTTAAAGATTTATTTATTTATTTATACAAGCACTGGGTACAGTCAGAGGCGCAGGAGGGTGAGAGAATTCACCAGAGCCAGAGCGGGGAGCAGAGCAGGCAGAAGGACTGAAGTACACTGCTGAGGGGAGCAGCGGGCGGCAGGAGAGGTCTGCGCGCCATGTGGGACCCTCTTCCAGTGGCCCGGGAGCAACCGGGGATCGAACCGGCTCTGCAGAGGCTGCGGGCCTCTTCGCAACCCAGCGCTCAACCGCTGCGCCACTGGGGAGGCCCTATTTCTGTATTTTTAAAGTATGAGTGAAACACTTTACTTGAGAATATTATTGCTTCTCTTTCCAAGTAGGCTTACTTGAAAAACAGTAAGAAAAGAAAAAGTAAGTACAAGAAAAGCAGCTATTGGTCCAGAAAGATTACTGTATATGGTATTAATACATGGCAATATAAGGGTAAACACTGTAGTAAGAAATGTATATCATAAATAATAGGAACTCAAAAGAAATTGAATTCTAGTTAAGGCATTTTAGAAGACTTCTATAAGGATGAATATGATTTAGGCAAATGGAGTAGAAAGGAGTGGAGATGATGCCGAAGAAAAAGAAGTGTTTGAAGTAGAAAACACATCACTTACATTCAAAGTAATCCTTTGTATATATGGTGTCTCTGTGGGGGCATGATTGAGTGGAGGAAAGAACAGAGGGAGAGGTGAGTCTTGGGAAACAGGTTGGGTAAAAGAAGAAGTAACTTGAGTTTGTAGACAATGAGGAGGTTTATATTAAGTTGAGGGTGAGATAATCCAAATTCTTTCTTAAAAATTATTTTGGTGTGAGAGATGCATTAAGGCTAGGAAGACTGGAAGCAGAAAAAATAGTGATGATGAAGCTTTTTAAAAATTTGTCTAGGTAGTTTAAAGCAGGGCAGAGGAAATTGAAAAGAAGGGGATCTTCAAGAGATGTAAGAAAGATGGAATTGATGCTAGTTGACTCCACCCTTATAGGGGAGGGCCTAAAGAGAAGTGACATTGATTGAGGCTTCTATCCAGTGATTATGTGAATGGTGGTGTCCTAAAGAGGAATGGAAAGGTGAATCAGTCTAATATGTTGCCTGTTGGACATATGTGATGTCCCCCATTTTTCAGTATGGATCTGACCCTCTGAGACAAGTACAGAGACTTGAATAGAGTTGTAGAGGTAAAGGACGTGTTGGCTGAAGTCATGAGAGTAGACGAGCTTAGCAAGGGAGATGAATTTAAATCTTAAGAGATCATAATTTCCTTGCCTCATCAAAGCCAGTCTTCTTAGAGAGCCAGTTATTAATATGGTGAGCCAGGTTTTTTCACCCAGTTTTTCCTTGTTTCAGAAATTCAAAAATAAACCAGATTTTTTTCTTTCTGATTGGACCGTGGCTTATGAAAGAAAATTTCTTTATCCTCTAGATTCATACACTCTACAGTTTTGTCACAGTATAGTAGACTTAAGTTTAAACCACATTTCTATGTATACATTATCTGTATTATGTCTGTGTTGAGAAACATGGATTTTTTTTGGAAGAAAGAACTTGACATTTTGAAATTTACCAGTAAATTAAAAATACATGTATCACTTTCCTGTTTTCCTTGCCCCTCCTCCTTTCCCACAGATGCTTAGCTAATGATGTATTAAGGAATTGTAATAAAAATTAGAATCAAGTTTTAACTAGCTGAATGTACCACCTATTTTCAGAGGGTGGAAAGAGAGGGATCCTGTGAGACTTTGGTTTGTAGCCTCTGTTGTTAATAGCTAAGCTGTACAAGTACTTGAAGTGGAGAAATCTACTAGTCCTTGACAACTAATATTATCTGGACATACATGCTTTATGAGCTAAGGTATATATCTACCTCATTCTTTTAGGGCATGTACTCCTCTGGTTTAAACATAAGCTGTAAGTGGAGATCTCGGTATAATTACGTAAATTCTGAATTAGTATTTATCGTAAATGTATATGTTCTCTTTAAACAATTTTTTTTAAAGATTTTACTTTTATTTATGCATACAAGAACTAGGGTGTAGGCCAGAAGTGCAGAGGGTGAGAGGATTCACCAGAGAGAGTGAGGAGCAGAACAGGTGGATCTATTGACTGCGGAGGGCAAGACAGGAGAGGTCTGCTGTGCTTTGTGGGTTAGCTCCCTTGCTGGGCATCAGACTCATGCCACAGTGGCTGGTGATAGCTTGATAGCATTGAGACTTTCCCCTGTGCCACCAGGGAGGCCCCCATGTGAATGTTTTTAATAGGTGTCTGGAGGCTTTTGTTTTTTTTAATATTCAGGATGGGATTATAGTGTCATCTTCTAGTACACTGTTACATGCCCTATGAAATAATTACGTATCAGTTCTTAATTTTGAGCTTTTTCTTCTCAACAGGTTTTGCACTGATTGCAAAAATAAAGTCCTCAGAGCATACAATATCCTTATTGGTGAACTTGATTGCAGCAAAGAGAAGGGCTACTGTGCTGCACTTTATGAAGGCTTGCGGTGCTGTCCACATGAACGACATATACATGTTTGCTGTGAAACAGATTTTATTGCACATCTTTTGGGTCGTGCTGAGCCAGAGTTCGCAGGAGGGTATGAGTATGTAATTTGCTAGAATGGGTTATCTAGCGCTTTGCTTCATTTTATTCCTGAAAGTTTATTTCCATCACTTCTGCCTCAGTATATATGATTATCAATTAAAAGTGTGCCTATAAAATTTTTGCTTTCTTTAACATATACATTTCTTAATTGTACAAAAGTAGGGAGAAAGTATTCTGTGGTGTTTGGTTTAGTCCTCTGCTTGTTGCTTGAAGTAGGTGGCAGGCTTCTTTTGGCTTTCATTACTGGAAACTATCATTTTCATTTGAAAATGATTAGAAGGGATTTTCCCATCTTCATCCATGCATTTCCACTTATAAATTTTGTTTGTAGTGATGGTTTTTGCATTGGAAGTGAGGTCTTTGCAGCAGGGGGTTAAGAAATGCTTATATTGGATGTAATTCATGAACTGTGTATTTTTTTATTATTAAATAGGAACCTAAAATTTTATCTCAGGTTTTGTGAAAATAAAATCAGAAAAAGTTCTTCATAGAATGAATCAAACTAATTTTCCTTTGTGTTTTGTGTACCAACTCTCACTTGAGTCCCTACTTTCTGCTAGGCCTTTAGGAATATAAAGATACTTTTTATGATAAGTTTGTGAACATGTCTACTGAAGACTGGCCTAAAGGCATTCTGCCTGTGATTGAAACACTTTGGTGTTGCCTTTCTGCATTTCCTCTCAAAAGGGGAATAAAAAAAACCCAAATAGGCAGTTGCTATAATTGGAAGATGAAAAGAACTGTTATGTCTACTATGAGCTGGACACTATATGTGCTTCTGAAGTGAGCACAGGACCCTTGCATATGACTGTTTTGTGCTAAGAAAATCGTCTCATTAGGGCCAGTTCCTGAATTACCTTATTTTTAGCAAAATTAAGACTTGCGTTCTACCTGCATGTGTATATCTCATTGTTAGATAAATGTGTGTTTGCATATCTGTATGCACATTGAGTTTGGATTTGTAACATTCTCATTATTAGGTTTTTAATAAGTATGCAGATTGTGTTTAAAACCTGAATTTGCAGATGTGTTATCCATCCTTTACTGTTTCAGTTAAGGGTATTAGGAATTATATGTGATCTATTCTCCTTTATAGGCGAAGAGAAAGACATGCTAAGACAATAGATATAGCTCAAGAAGAAGTTTTGACTTGCTTGGGAATTCATCTTTATGAAAGACTACATCGAATCTGGCAGAAACTACGAGCAGAGGAGCAGACGTGGCAGATGCTCTTCTACCTTGGTGTTGACGCTTTACGCAAGAGTTTTGAGGTGAGAACAGTGGGTTGCTTCGTTGTTCAAGATTGCGTGGTCAGATTATTGGGCTGAATCTTAATGTGAGCCTCCAGTGTGGCCTTGGCCTCAGTTGTGATTCACTGATACATCATCAAGATCTTTGGGAGCTTGGGAGAGGGGTTTCCTGGCAAACTGATTAGAAGTTTGGATTTTTCTTTGTTTTCTGCTGGTCTTGGTTTTTAGGTTTTCTTAGAGTAGAAAATTGAAACTGGTGACTATTTAATAAGATGGTACTATGAAACATAACTAATGCAAAGTTAAAAGGAGCCCAAAAAGAAGTAACAAAAGTACTTTTTTACAAGCACAGTGATTGATGGTCACTCTTTCTGGGCTTAGTGCTTATGGTTTGGTGACTTTTTTTTTTTTTTTTTTCAATTATACTCTGTAGAATATGAATTTTTGACTAGTAAATATTTTGTTCTATTCTAGGGGGTGGTTGTCAATTCTTTAACTAGATTATCAGTCCCTTTTGAGGATGGTATGGAAACTATAATACCTCTCTTTTTAGAAGACCATACATGAATTTCAAATACTCTTCTGGGGAGTCTTTAGATTTGGACTAGTTCTTGCTGGACAGATTTTTTTATTTTACATTTTAAAAGGACAAGTGTATTAGGAAAAGGAGAAAAAGAGGCACCTGCATAGTCATAGGTGGACTGGGAAACTGGCTTAAACAGATTTCTTTATTCCTTTTCTATGTATAAAAGTAGTGTCTTCAATAGCACTATGAAGCTCTCCGCAGCCACTGCAGCATGAGTTTGCTCCCTGACCAGGGAGGTGACCCACATGATGCTGCAGACCTCTCCTGACTTGCTAGCTGCTCCCCTCAGCAGTGTATTTCAGTCAGTCTGCCTGTTCTGTTCCCTACTCTTCTCTCTGGTGAATCCTCTTACCCCCACATCTCTGGCTTGTACCCCAGTTCTTGTATGCATAAATAAATAAATCTTTAAAAAAAATACAAGTAGTGTCTTCAGAAACTTAGATCATTTGATCAGGTTGAATAGTTTTCTCATTGTGTGAAGAAAGAAATGAGTGTGTACTTTGCTGTGTTAAAATTCTGATTTTTTTTTTAAGATTTATGTATTTATGCATACAAGGCCAGAGGGGTGTGTGTGGGGGGAGGTGAGAGGACTCACCAGAGAGAGTGGGGAGCAGAACAGGTGGATCTCCTGAAATACACTGCTGAGGGGAGCAGTGGGCGAGACAGGAGAGGTCTGCTGCACCATGTGAGTTAGTTCCCTGGCCGGCTGGGGGATCGAACTCATGCTGTAGTGGCTTCAGATAGCTTCATAGTGCTGAGACTTAATAACCCTTGCACCACCAGGGAGGCCCCCAAAATTTTGATTTTTTAATGGTTTGGGATAGGAGTGTGTGTAATTATACCTTTATCATTGGGTTTAGTTGTATATTGACTTCCTGAGTAGGATTTAAGACTGTCATCATTTACGGTACTAAAATTTGAAGTATTTTGTGGGGATTACTGCAATGCCAGTTTTAGTGTATGTGGTATTTTAAATTCACAATTGAGAATTTCCATGGAAACTAAAGGAAGGTTTGATCAATTTGCTCTTTGTTTTTACATTAGATGACTGTTGAAAAAGTACAGGGTATTAGCCGATTAGAACAACTTTGTGAGGAATTTTCAGAAGAGGAACGAGTAAGAGAACTCAAGCAAGAAAAGAAACGCCAAAAACGAAAGAATAGACGAAAAAATAAATGTGTATGTGATATTCCTACTCCCTTACAACCAGCAGATGAAAAAGAAGTAAGCCAAGAGAAGGTAGTATTGCTTCATATTAACTCACCTGTGTATTATACTGCTTTGGATAGAAATATTGCTTTTTGTTAGGTTTGGGCATTTTTACTAAGCTCTTGCAGAAATGTGAGCTCCTGCAGTTTGTATACTGTACTCTGTGTATGCCAAAATACCTAATGTCATGTTTGTTTTATAAAGACAATGTTGGTTTTTTTCTTTTTAACTGACTTTAGTTTGTGCTGATAGGCAGAGTCCAAATGTGGAAAGTTACCTCCTGTTATGACTTAGAACAGTTCTCAGCTTTTTGGTGTTAGGACTCATTTGCATTCTTAAAAATTGAGATAACCGGGCCTCCCCGGTGGCACAGCGGTTGAGCGCTGGGTTGCGAGGCTGCCCGCCGCCTCCGCAGCGCCGGTTCGATCCCCGGCTGCTCCCCAGCCACCGGAGGAGGGTCCCACGTGGCGCGCAGACCTCTCCTGCCGCCCGCTGCTCCCCTCAGCAGTGTACTTTGGTCCTTCTGCCTGCTCTGCTCCCCGCTCTGGCTCTGGTGAATTCTTTCACCCTCCCGCGCTTCTGACTTTACCCAGTGCTTGTATAAATAATAAATAAATGAATCTTTTTTTAAAAAAAAAAAATTGAGATAACCAATGAGCTTTTTTGGTAAGTATTTTCCAAAAGAAAAAAAAAATGGAGAGAAGGGTGGCATTATTTTGCATTTTTCATAAATCTCTTTACTGTTTGGTTTAAAAAGTTTCAGGTGGATTCTCATATCTGCTCTATAGTCAGTCAGTTTTCAGATGTTTCCCATGATTGAAACATGTGAGAAAGGTCTGGCTTCACACAGAAACAATGTATATGTATATGTAGGAGTATTTTAATATTGAAATTATTAACTCTACAGACAATTGCAGCTGTTCTTTGGTACTCAACAAGGGGTAGTTTATTAAAGATTAGTTGCAATGTGGAACTTGAGACCTTATCAGTGACCTTTACATATGCTGTTAAATAAAATCCATTGGCTTGTGTTGTATTTTGAATAGATCTATTACTAATACATGATTATGGATCTTCCCAGAGAGTCACAGCTCGTTACGTAATATCTGACAGCCATTAAAATCAACACTGATTTCATCAAGAGAATCTTTACTATTGGGAAGCTTCAAGCTCGCTATGCTTGCATATGCAAGTTCTGAAAATTCTTATTATAGTTTGAAAGTTTGAATTTTATCAGTGACAATTTCACTTGGTCAGAGGGACTGACTTCATTTGTTTTTGAGAAAATGTCTTTTAAATATCCAAGTCTCAATAACCTTAGTTCGTCTTTCACTCTTTAAAATAAAACTGATACTCCAGGAAAACAGCTAGTTCACCTTGCAGTTTATACATTTGCAAAGGTATTCTTCCTTGAGACAGCCATTGTACTTTGGTATACAGTAGAAGTGCTTTTGTCTCACTTTCCATTTTTTCATATAGACTGTTAAAAAGACATCTATCTACTCATGGGTAGATACTTATTTTTCACAGCCTGCTATTTAGTAAAATATTTTTATTTCCTCACTTGCTTGACAGGTGTGTACTACAGTGATAGTACATGTTAGTTGCCATTGTTAGTACACTGCCTTGATTTGTGCTAAAGCACAACTTTTCCCACCATTCATTTTGTACCACCAGTGTATTTGTATTAATATTATGCTGAAAATAATTTTTTAAGAGATTTATTTATTTATTTATACAAGAACTGGGGTACAGGCCAGATGTGCGGGAGGGTGAGAGGATTCACCAGAGACAGAGTGGGGAACAGAACAGGCAGACTGATGAAATACACTGCTGAGGGGAGCAGTGGGCGTGACTGGAGAGGTCTGCTGTGCCCTGTGGGACCCTCGCTGGCAGCCTGGGATGGAATCAGCACTGCAGAGGCTGTGGACAGCTTCACAGTGCTGCGCTCAACCGCCTGCACCACCAGGGGAGGACCTGAAAATAATTTTGATCTACCACTGGAGTCAGCAGATCACACTTTGAAACATGCTATCCTACACATACCTAATACCATTAACTCCTGTTTTTAGTGGTTTGTAGTCTCACAGTGAATTAAATTGGTGAATTTTCATGAACTTGTTTTCAAAATGTTAACCTCATAACTCCTATCTTGTTGGTTAATGATAAGAAAAATTAAATGTAATTGTTATGAAGGTATTTACTATTTCTTAATGTTGATCCTTAAAGGAAACAGACTTCATAGAAAACAGCTGCAAAGCCTGTGGCAGCACTGAAGATGGTAATAGCTGCGTAGAAGTGATTGTTACCAATGAAAATACATCATGTACCTGTCCTAGCAGTGGCAATCTTTTGGGGTCCCCTAAAATAAAGAAAGGTAAATGCAGTTTTTATTATTTTATTTTTTATATATATATAATAATAATTATAGTTTTAAAAAATTCCAGTGTAATTGTTATATAACAATTTTAGTTTCAGAAGTATAATGATTTGGCATCTGTGTATAAATTAACTTTTAAGTCCATTCTTTCTTTTAAATTTAAGGGTTTTAAAAGATTCTATAATCTTAAAATTTAGGAACTGCTTTATTGCCCCAAGAATATCATATACTTTAGTGAGATAATTACAATTTCCTTTTTCATTATGGTGTCTGATTTGTTGTTATTTGACCCAAAAAATCTATAAATACTTAATTGTATTTTTATTATATATTTATATTATTAATTTGCTTTCTACTTTTAGTTTTGAAATTTTTCCCAGTTGGTTCACTTTATTAAATATAGTTACTGGTATGTTAATTGTGACTCCAACCTGATTTATTTTCAGGCTTATCTCCACACTGTAATGGTAGTGATTGTGGATATTCATCTAGCATGGAAGGGAGTGAAACAGGTTCTCGGGAGGGTTCGGATGTTGCGTGCACTGAAGGCATTTGTAATCATGACGAACATGGTAGGTTGAGATTAAACTTCCCAAATATTTCTGCTACATTGCTGATTTAGAGCATATAAATAAGAAATTACCGATGTTTTTAGGTGATGACTCCTGTGTTCATCATTGTGAAGACAAAGAGGATGATGGTGATAGTTGTGTTGAATGTTGGGCAAATTCTGAAGAGAACACCACCAAAGGAAAAAATAAAAAGAAGAAAAAGAAAAGCAAGATGCTGAAATGTGATGAACATGTAAGAGTCATAAGTTGTGTTCTTAAATCTTTGCTATTGAGGGGAGATCAACCCATTTTCTTTGGAGTGATAAATGTGCAGCTTCAGTTGCTGGGATTTAGATTTTAGAATCAGTACTCATCTTGTGATGTGTGTGTATGTGTATCTCTGTAATGTGGCCTTTCGTCTGACAGTCATGTGTGTCAAATCCAATTCATTCTCTTCATAATAACTTCAGATTTATCAGCTGCGTAATCTTGAACAGTTTTCTTTTTTTTAGTTTTCCCATCTATAAAATAGAGGTAATAGTCCCAATCAGATTAGAATCTATGAAGATGAAATGGGATTATATCTCGATGGGTTAGCATAGAACCCAGCATTATGTGTAATGATCTTACAAACTCAGTTGCTGCTGTTACTCAGTATTCCTTCTAAAAGGTTAACACTCTGCCCAGGCTTTTTATTTTCTTTGAAGAATATTTGCTCTTAGTTCCTCCCTGTTTATCTGGGAAATCCTTTACTGTGGTTTCAGATTCAAAAGCTTGGAAGCTGTATTACAGATCCAGGTAATCGAGAGACCTCAGGAAACACCGTGCACACAGTGTTTCACCGCGACAAGACCAAAGATGCACATCCTGAAAGCTGTTGCAGCTCTGAAAAGGGTGGGCAACCACTGCCTTGGTTTGAGCATAGGAAAAGTGTACCACAGTTTGCAGAACCCACGGAAACGTCATTTGGTCCTGATTCTGGAAAAGGTGCCAAGAGCTTAGTTGAACTCCTTGTAAGTAAGCCATGACATCTCCTAGATAACTCTTTGTTCATTTGGGTAGACAATATTTGTGGGTTTAAAGTGAGCAGTAGGGTAGGCTTTTAAGAAAGTATGGGCAGTATTTCGTTCTTGATTTCATTTCTGCTTTTCTGCTCTTGGTTTATGCTGTTGCTCTATCACATTTCTTTGTCCCCCTATGTCTCAAAGGTAAAGGAATAGAGTTAGCAGAATGTTAGTTAGAGAGGAATAGAGTTAGCAGAATGTTCAAGAGTCTGCCCATTGAAGAGGGTTATTATAAGCAATCTGCCTTCCTGTGTGGCAACCCTTCCAGACTAGGAAAGAATAAAGAATCTGAATGAGAGTCCATTTTCTAGGTTATTTCTTCTAGATGTCAAGTAGGTTAAATCTTACCAGGATTCGGAAAATCTTTTAGAATTTACTCCAATTATTGATACTTTAGATGAGTTATTCCTGATTTTAAGTAATCTAGTCCATAGTTTGTGTGAGGCTTGGAGGAAAGAGAAGAAAGATGGGTGGTATTTTTTCTATGGTAATTAGTATCCTGCTGGAACCAAATCCTTTTGAATACTAGTTTTTTTTTTTCCCCCCTTTTTATATAGTTGTAAAGTTTAATGATGATACTTTATAAGTTTTATAAGTTATATTTACTTAATTTTCAACATAGGGCTAGTTAAAATAAGTTGGTTATTTAAAATGTGGTAACTAGTTGTAACCATCTAATTAGTTACTATTTTTTTCACATAGCTTTTTTTTTTTTTTTAAAGATTTATTTGTGCATAAAAGAACTGGGATACAGGCCAGAGGTGTGGGGGCGGGGGAGGTGAGAGGATTCACCATTTAGAGTGGGGAACAGAACAGTGAGACTGACTGAAACACACTGCTGAGGGGAGCAGCGGGAGAGACAGGAGAGGTCTACTGTGCCATGTGGGTTGCTCCCTGGTTGGCCGGGAATCGAACTTTCCTGCAGAGGCTGTGGATAGCTTCACAGTGCTGTGCTTAACCCTTTGCGCCACCATGGAGGCCCTAATTAGTTACTTTTTAAAGATAAAGGTATATTGGTTGTCTGCTAGGTTATTGACATCTAGGGCAAATTATAGAAGTAGAGTTTTAAAACCAGGTTGGATTGGGTTTTATTCTTTCTTGTCCTTCCTGGGACAGAATGACATGATGCTTATTCTGTCAACATTCCAATTCAAGGCCTTTATGTGAGTGAAGTGAAACTGAAAAGGTAGCTGCTTTAATTTTCAGCTATTCTCCATCAGCATAGCATTGTGCATTCTTAAGTCATAGTCTTAACTACTGTTTTAATTTGCAGGATGAGTCCGAATGTACTTCAGATGAGGAAATCTTTATTTCACAAGATGAAATACAGTCATTTATGGCTAATAACCAGTCTTTCTACAGCAATAGAGAACAATACCGACAGCATCTGAAGGAGAAATTTAATAAATACTGCCGCTTAAATGATCACAAGAGGCCCATTTGTAGTGGCTGGTTGACAACTGCTGGAGCAAATTAAATAAATAAAATAGCTCTGTCTTTCAATGAAACACTCAAGATGACTACTGCGCCTTCTCTTTCAAAAAAAAAAAAAACTCTTAATTTAGTGACATGGCAAAATTTTATCTTAAATCAATGTGATTCGTTCTTGTTTTGGGAGACGGTGGAGGTAACCTCATTAGTTCTTTCTTCAGGCTTGTGTCTTTAGTTGCGTGCTGCGCAGGCCTGCCATATGATTTAAGCCATCTCTTTTCATTAAATGTTTCTCTTCCTGTGAGACTTTACTAAAGCAACTTAGTGGCAAAAAGTAATGTTGTACTTATACTTCTGTACAGAAATGACAATGAGCTGAATATATGGTTTTACAAAGTAGACATCCACTTGCAAAATGTTTGGATGTAATGTTAAAGCGCAATGTGCAAAATTTAAAATAAAGAATATTTATTAATATGCATAGTAAAATTTGGTGTACATGTTTCTACTTACTGTGTGGCAGTATTTTAATATTTGCCACTTGTGGACTTGGTACTTGGCCAATGTTGATGTTAGAGAGGATGAAGAGCAAATGAGGATAGATAGTTGAAGGCAAACTTCTTCCCTTCGTCAGTGTTGACAACTAAGAAAAGCAATTTCCAGACTTCTGTTTTGAAAGGATGATTGTGCCACAATACCTTGAAATACTGGCTGTCTTCCTCCTGAGACTTTTAACTGCTCTTTATGTTAAAAGATACCTGGTACATAACACAAAGCACACTAAATTCAGAGGTTCATATTGACCTTTGAATGAAGAATAAAAATACTACTTGGCAGAATTTCAACCGAGGGGTGACTGTTAAGTAATTACTCAGCATGTGGACCCGGGATCAGAAGGCTGCACTGAGAGCTAACCACTTTGCGGTCTGTGTAAGTGCATGTTCCTTATCTGGTTTCCAACAATAAAGTCACTCACTATGGCATTACATTTTACTGCTTTCACAAGCTGTCTGAGTACTGAGAGCAATTCCCCCTGGAGTAGCATTTGGCTGTCATTTAAAAGGTTTGAGTCAATAGAATGGATGTGTGCTTATAGCTTTGTGCCTGCAACTTGATAATACTTGGTAGGCAGTAGACAAGTAGTAGGACAGTCAATTCCTCTTTGTAAAGGAGGATAAGAGTTGAATTTTATGGACTTTGTACCAACTAGTCAGATGGCTAATCAGATTTCAAGTGGGCAACAGCAGAAACTTTTATTTATTTTTAAAGATTTATTTATGCATACAAGAACTGGGGTACAGGCCAGAGGTGCAGGGGGGTGAGAGGATTCACCAGAGACAGAGTGGGGAACAGAACAGGTGGATTGACTGAAGTACACTGCTGCGGGGAGCAGTGGGGAGACAGAAGAGGTCTGCTGTGCCATGTGGGTAGCCCTCTGGCTGGCCAGGGATGGAACTCATGCTGCAGAGACTGTAGATAGCTTCATAGTGCTGTGCTTAACCCCTTGTGCCACCAGGGAGGCCCAGAAACTTTAGATTCAATTTTTGTAGTTTGGCATTCCTTTCATCCACCCCTTGAGATTGTCTTCAAATCTAAGTGTTGTATGGAGATTGGAGCAGAGGTAAAAATGAGTCATGAGTCCTCTCCAACCCTGTGTTTTCCTCCTAAATCATAAAAACCGCTTCAGGGCTCCCACAGCCCTTGGCTCATCCCACTTGCCCTCTACACTACCTGTTGCAGTCAAATTTTATCTTAGGATCCCTAAAAGCAAGGGCAAAAGGTTTTGCCTCGATTTCATCTTTGCCGTTGGGGTCAAACATATGAGTGCTTGTTGAATTAATAAGCCAGCCACCTTTACTGCTTTATTCTGTTGCTTGCAGTGGAGAAATTCCAGTAATTCAGAGATGATTTTTCTCTGGAAAGATGGCAATATTAAGAATGCACAAGTGAGGCAGTTTTCAAAACTTGGATGGAACGACCTGAGCTGAGAGAACCAAGCGAGCTCTCCTCAGAACAAAACGAACAACCCAAGAAGAGACAAAAAGAATGGATTGAAGGTAGTTTAGGAGCATGTTCCCTCGCCTAAGACTGGACTGCTTATGGTCCAAACCATGTTTTCGCCCCTTTTTGTCTCAGTATACTCATCTGCAAAACGACATTAATAGGTACAGTCTCATAGGGCTGTTGTGCATATTTAAAGTGCTTAACAGTTTCTCACACGGTAAGCTCTCTAAATATTAGCTATTGCTTTAATCTTTCGTATGCATGGTGCTACATGTATTCCAGTGGGAGAGGGAGAGTCTAGAACAGTTGGACACAGTTGACCTTTAGGGATACGCTGCCCCCGCAATACAGGTGTACTTGGAGGTGTTTCTTTTTATAATCTTTCAGTTCCTACTGTTCAGGCACAGGGGGATCAGGTAGGGCTGAGTCCCCCTGACGCAGCCTTGGCAGCCCAGATGGCCTTTTCGGAGCTAAATCCTGCCCAGCCGCACCAGCTGGTTGGAGAGGGCGCTGGAGTCACCTTAAATGCTCTTAATTTCTCTCCCAGGCTTTTAGGGCTCAGGAACAGGGACGCGAGCCCGAGCGACGGGCGAGAGCACGGCCCCAGGGGCAGAGCCGGCTCAGGCCGAGCCCGGCTTTCCCCGGCCGAGGCGGAAGCGCGGGGGCGGGGGCGGGGCCGCCGCGCCCAGGGCCCGCCCCCGCCGGGGCGGGGCGGGCCGGAAAGGGCGGGGCGGGCCGGAAGGGGCGGGGCGCGCCGCGCAGGGGCGGGCCGGCGGGCGGCGGCGTCCTCCGGCGGGATGTGGCCGAGCTCCGAGGAGCGGAGGGTGGAGTCCCGGGCGGGGGCCGGCCCAAGCGGAGGCGGGCCCAGGCGCGTCCCGGACGGGGGCCGGCCGGCGGCGGCCGCCTCCGCGGTGATAAGAGAGCGGCCGAGCGCCTGCGAGCCGGGGCGCAGCTCCGCGGTCTCGGTCCCCAGCTCGCCGGGCGGCGCGGGCGGGCGGCTGAGGATCATGGCCAGGGCCGGAATGGAGCGGTGGCGCGACCGGCTGGCCCTGGTGACGGGGGCCTCGGGGGGCATCGGCGCGGCGGTGGCCCGGGCCCTCGTCCAGCAGGGACTGAAGGTGGTGGGCTGTGCCCGCACCGTCGGCAACATCGAGGTAAGGTCCGCCCCGAGCGGCGGGCTCCGGGAGGCGTTTCCGCCGGGCTGGGGTCCGGTGGGGGAGGGGTGGCCGGGGTCGGCTGCGGGCGCTGCCCCCGCGGCCCGCCCCCCGAGTCATGTGCTGCGGGCTCGAGGGGTGGACGGGTGAGGGGCCCCGGGATCCCCACACGGGCCTCTGCTTGGCTTTTCTGAGTCCCGTCTGCTCCGGAGCTGTGTCTCCTGACAGCCCACTCCACTGTAACAGCCTCCACTCCTCGGAGTCTCTCTTCCCCCTGCCTCCTGGCCAGGAGGGTACGGGGCTTGGGCAAGGGGAAGCCGGAGGCCGGGCGCCCGCTGGGCAGCCAGGGCGAAGGAAAGACAGCTCTCTGGCCTCAGCGGCCGGGCTGGCTGCTGGACTGCGTCCTCTGGCTCGCGCAGGGGGCCCTCAAGCCGAGCAGTGTCCGGCCAGCCAAATGAGCAGGAGCTACAGGTTTTGATCATGATCATTTTTTACCCAAGATTGAAGGTGGGTCGGGAGAGAGTGGAGCTTTTCACGAGGCTCGGCCTCTCCCCCAAATCTGAGAGTTAACCCCTACTAGTTGGCATAAGGGAGGAACGGGGTGGACTGAATAGGTGGAACAGGGCATCCGAACATGTGAGCCCTGAGGGGATAAATCAAGATGGAACTGGAACTCCTGGCTTTTTTTTTCATATAATTTTTTTAAAAGATTTATTTATCTATACAAGCACTGGGTACAGTCAGAAGCGCGGGGTGGGAGGGGGAGGGGCGGGCTGAGAGGATTCACCAGAGCCAGAGAGGGGAACAGAACAGGCAGACTGACGAAATACACTGCTGAGGGGAGCAGCGGGCGAGACAGGAGAGGTCTGCTGCACCTTGTGGATTTCTCCCTGGCCAGCCGCTGGGATCAAACACACGCTGCAGAGGCTGTGGACAGTTTCACAGTGCAGCGCTCAACCGCCTGCGCCACCAGGGGAGGCCCTCCTGGCTTTTAACATGGGTTGGGAGCCCCCAGAATTGTGAGCAACAGGAGCTCAGAGAAAAATGAAATGAAGTTGACCACATGGGATCGGGGAGGAAGGGGAGAGAAATTTTCATCTTTGCCACTGATCACTCTGAGGGTTTGGGCTTTATTGCCACCACTGCTCAAAGTCCCTGGGCTGGGATGGGATAAGGAGACTTTGTGTGGGGTCAGGGGGACAAGGTGGATGGGAAGGACTGTCCCCTCCCCTGCTGCTTACCAAAGGTACACTTTATAACCTCCTAGACAGTCCCAAGGTCACCTGGCCACACCGTTGTGCCACACTGCCCCTCCCTTTTTCCCATTCTGAGGTGCTCAGGTTCCAATCCCAGCCTTGGAGCCTAAAGGACCAGGACAGGAATTAGAACAGTGTATTCCTTAATTTGAAAGCTGCTATTGCTTTCTCTTCCTATTCCCTCTACACCTAATTCAGGAAAGGAGGTCCCTGAGTCTCAAGGAAATCCCTAGGCTGCTCACTCAGATCTGTGATGACTCCATGTAATGGGGAGAGACTGAGGAGACTGACATGATTTCAGGTCATTTCTGAGGATAGGTGAGAAGATGGTCCAGGAAACACAGGTGGGGCAATGAGGAAGGAGTGACAGAGAAATATATCAGTCCCTCCTCCATTCTGGCTTTTCTAGGGTGCTTTGGAGTCTGGAGGAGGAAGAGAGAATATGCACGTTAAGGGAGAGGAGAATTCCAGGTTTCCTTGCTCATGGTCTGCTTTTATTAATTGATTGATATTAAAAATTGGAGTATGTAACTCCCGTTTCCTAAGGTGGTCCTGAGTAGGTGACATTGAGTAAAGGGGGGCTTCTGGGCCCCAGAGGACTGTACCTTTTAAACTCATGGAAAGTTAAAGCAGGAAAGAATTTCCTAGGTCATCTGATCCAGCCCTTTATTTCCAGCTTGGTTTTGGGGAAGGAAGGGACTCCAGGCCAGGGCAGCTAGCCAAGCTAGCCTTCCTCTAGGGCACCTCACACGCCCCAGCCATCTCCCGTCCACATATGTACACAGTCACCTTCACAACGCTCGTGCCCAGTCACTGGACTACATGGCCACACAGCTTGTTTGCGTCCTGCTTCTCACTGTCAGCATGCCTCGCAGTCTTCTCAGCAGCTCCGCTTTCTCAGTTCTTTCTTCAGGGCTCTTCAGAGTTGGGGGCCGTAGAGATACACAGGGGCTTTCTGATGTTACATGTCACCTGACTCACAACACAGTCTCCAGAGAAACTTTGGGGCTGGGAGGAAGGGGTCAGAGGGAAAGAATCTGTCCTGACTTCCTGATCCTTCCTATAAGTAGGGAGTAGCATCTGGACTCGATTTGAAAAGTTGTATGTGGGAACTCCAAGCCAACTAGCTGCACTCTGTGGAAGGGATTGGATGAGGTGATAGCAGAGTCGAGGCTCTGGCATAACCAACAACTTGACTCTCGGCACTGCTGGAAGAAGAACAGGGTGGGGTAAGAGGTGTGACTTACCTGTGAGTAGAGAAGGTGTTTCCATTGGTAGAAAATGAACTCAGCTATATGTGAGGCAGAAAAGAGATTGCACTCCAGTTTCAGGATCTCCAGCCGTTTGCCCTTGGTAGAACTGAAGGCTCGAGTTTGTCCGTAAGGTTCCTCCATGGATGATTCCATTTTCCCCCTCCCTCACTCAGGGAGTGCTCTCATCCCCTGGACTTTGACCAAAGAAGACAAGCTTTGGGGATGGGCAGTCCTAACATCCCTATGGCACAAAGGTGGCCACCAAGGAGGGAGTCTATGAGTGGTGCCTGTGGAAGGAGGTTGTCTCTGGGTGGGGAGGTGTGGGCATGAGCAGCTCACCCCAGTTAGACCCCTGTTGGGTTTCATAGGAGCTGGCTGCTGAATGTAAGAGTGCAGGCTACCCCGGGACTTTGATCCCCTACAGATGTGACCTGTCAAATGAAGAGGACATTCTCTCCATGTTCTCGGCTGTCCGCTCTCAGCACAGCGGTGTGGACATTTGCATCAACAACGCCGGCTTGGCCCGCCCTGACACCCTGCTCTCAGGCAGCACCAGTGGCTGGAAGGACATGTTCAATGTAAGGGCGCCAGGTGGCTTTGGGGGGCTGGGGGGAGAGCTGGTGACCAGGGCTTTGTGAACCAGAGGGCTGCTGGAGACAACAGGGGCACCGTTGGGTTCCTACCTGGGGCATTGTAACTCACTCCACTGGAGGGACAGCAAGTGGAAGAATGGCTGTGTCTTTTCCATACTTTTCTGTGAACCCCTGGGGGCAGTTCTTAAAGTCTAGACTGATTTTCCCCTGTGGGAAGAAAGACTGGTGGGGGGAGAGCTGCTGTTTTTTGGATGTCCCCCAGGTGTCAGTGCCATTCTGAGTGCTTGGGAACATGGTGTTATGGGAAGAAAAGAGACAAGGGATGAAGTTCTCCCCCAGTCCTGCCAGTAACTGGTTATCCTCTCTGAGCCCCAGTATTTCACATTTAGTTGGGATGAACACACACTATCATATGTGGGGTCCAGTAGGTACGTAAGCGAGTGACTGGGGTCGGGTGGGGCCTGCAGTAGGTGGAGAGAGCACACAGCCACATGGGGAGGCCACTGCCGAAGCCCAGCCTTCTTGCTATGTGGCAGAGTGAGGCTGGTGTGGCCAGAACTTATGATTGCTTTGAGAAGTGGGGAGCCCTGATTTTTTTTAAAGATTTATTTATTTATGCATACAAGAACTGGGGTATAGGCCAGAGATGTGGGGGGTGAGAGGATTCACCAGAGACAGAGTGGGGAACAGAACAGGCAGACTGACTGAAATACACTGCTGAGGGGAGCAGCGGGCCATTCAGGAGAGGTCTGCTGCGCCATGTGGGTAGCTCCCTGGCCGGGGATCGAACCATGCTGCAGTGGCTGTAGATAGCTTCATAGGTTGCATCTTAACCCCTTGTGCCACCAGGGAGGCCCCAAGGGAGGATTTATATGTGACATCCCACACCTCTCCCTCACTCAACCCTCAATTCCACCAGGGCAAGGAGTTTTTATTCTCTGGCATAACCTCAGCCCATAAATACTCAATAATAAGTTGGTATAGAAGGAGGGAAACCTTCGAATACTCGTTGGAAATGCATTTTAAATGTTTGTTAAATATGTATGGGTCAAACACAGCCTTTAGGACATGGGTTTTCAACCTTTAGATTATACTGTGTGGTAATCTTAAGATATGAAAGTAATCTGAGAAGTGGAAGCCAGTGTGTCAATGGGATGTGTTCCCCCCACAATCCTTTTCATATTTGCTGACAGTAGGTGCTTGGGCCTGGAAATAAAGCAAGCAAAAATGAAATTGAAGCACTGTTCCTGCCTTTAGAGAGCTCTCTGGGAGATCTGAGTTACAGTCTTCACCTGCAGCAAGTGGGTCTCTAAGTCTGGGCCTTACCTTGCCCGTCTGTAAAATGCCCATCTGTAAGTAAGGCTCCTTTCAGCCTAAACATTGGGTAATTCTGTTAGGGTCTTCCTATGAGGCATCTTCTCTATTCCCAGCCCTGGCTCCCAGACCTGGAAGATTCACTCCCTGGCTGCAGGGGTATCTGTTTCTCCTACTCTATCTGTCCTCGGGAGCTAAGTTCTCTGCCCCACAAACCCACATTGCTTAGAGGACCAGAAACGGCTGAAAGCTTCTGGGTTTTTCTGCTGTGAACACTGTGGCAGGTTAACAGGGAGGGTGTTCTGTCCTGATGCTTGGCTCTCACACCTGATAAAGAAAAACATTTAATCTCCCAGCTGGAGCCCTCTCTTCCCAAGAGGAGAGACACGAGGACCTGCTGAAAGCTTTATCTCTGCCTGTCCTTATGGCTGAGGCTAAGGGGTGGGGCTGGGCAGGAACTTTAGAGCAGAGACACTTCTTTACTCCATATCATGAAGGGTGGGGATTTGGGGTCACCTCTGCTAGAGTGTGTCTGTGTGTGCAGAGGCCAAGGAAGTCCCCCTCCCCATGTCCTTGTAGGTGGAACAGAGATTAAAGGAAGGCATGGAGAAAGGTGGGCCAGGCCTTTTTCCGCTTGTTGTCTCAAGGGAGGTGATTCGGAAGGAGCAGGAGGAGCTGAGAAAGGTTGGGAGAGTCTTAAGTTCTGTGCTTAAATAGAGAGATTTTGAAAACCATTTTAGGAAGAATTTTAAGGTGTTCAGTAGAGCGTAGGCCAGGGACTCTGTCCTAGAGAAGAATGGAGTATTTGGGGAAGAAAAGGAGATGCCTCTCTAAGGCGGAAGTTTTGTTTGTAGAGGGGATGGCCAAGACAGGGAGTCTTTTGGATCCTGGCTAGGTTTGGCTCAGGGGTGGGGTGGAGGGGTGGCTTCCGTTGGTGGGGGGGTCACCTGGGAGAGGAGCTGCCTCTCTGCCAGCTGAGACTGGAGGCTTCCAGGGAAGAGGCATTGAAGGCAAGGTTCCTGGGCCCCATCATCAGTGTCTAGGAGGACCTGGACACTATTTTGGAATGCCAGTACTCCCTCCCTGGGGGTGCTCTGGGGTTCCATCAGCTGCTCAGATGGGCCCAAGCTGGCGACATCCCAATGCCATTCCCGGCCTGCAGGTGAATGTACTGGCCCTCAGCATCTGCACGCGGGAAGCCTACCAGTCCATGAAGGAGCGGAAGGTGGATGACGGGCACATCATTAACATCAACAGGTGAGGCCACCAGCCAGGGCTGGGTGACCTGCTGCAGCTCATTTGAATCTCTTTGGCCCTCAGTCTCCTTGGTGGTGAAATTGGGGTTTAATACCCAGTTAAAACCCAAATGGCATGATCTTGGTGGGGGTTCTCCTGGGACTATTTCTCCATTCCTCAGGCCTGAGAGTGAACCCCACCTCGTGGTACAAAGGAAGCTTACACATCTGGGAGGGGAGGCATGGCCTCCCTTGGGGAAGAACCCTAAAGGGAGTAGATACACCAGTTGACGCGCAGGTGAAATTGAGAGGTTCTCACAGCCTGCGTGACCATGAGAGTAGATTATATGGTCCGTGTAGGGAGGACTTCTAGGAAGAGTAGGGCTTTCAGGAGCTGCTTGAAGAAGACATTATTGAGCCATGAGGAAGGTCTCTAGAGGGGCCCTTTAAAAGGTTTCTCTGCTAGCATCTAGGTAGTGGGGTTGACAGGTAAGCAGGGGGCACTGCTGTTCTCTTGCGAGCTTCACTCTTTCTTCTTTTCCTTTCCCTCCTTCCACCCAGCATGTCTGGCCACCGAGTGGTACCCCAGTCTGTGGTCCATTTCTATAGTGCTACCAAATATGCCGTCACCGCGCTGACTGAGGGACTGAGGCAAGAACTTCGGGAGGCCCAGACCCACATCCGCGCCACGGTGAGGCTGTGGCCCGGCCCTGGTGGGTAGGCCTGGGGCCTCCCCACCCCATATACTACTGCCCAGGATGCCCGTGTCCAGTGTGTGCTGCTTAAAGCTCCTGGGAGTGCACTGGGTACAGATCTGACTCTGCTGCTACTTGCATGGCTCTGCCAGTGCTTGACTTTCCTCATTTCACAGACTCTGAGGTGGGAGGTGGCCGACCTAAAGGGAATATGAACTGGCGAGTTCAGGGAAAGCAAGTGATTGTGGGAAATCAGGTGCACTGTGGCAGAAATTTGGGGTTTTGGGCCATGAGACCTTGGGTAACTCACTCAACCTCTCCAGGCCTCAGTCTTTTCATTTGTAAACTATTGATGATAATACCTATGAAGTTTTGAGGGGCACCTTTTTGTAAAATGGCCTATTCGGGCTTTGTAGATAGTAGTTACCATTGTGGTAGCAGCCAGTGGCAGTTCTGGAGGGAAGAGTTAGCTGCTAGACATTGGGCAGCCATCACTGTGAAGCTGGGCTCTGGTGGCTCCATCCTTGCCCTCTAGTTTTCCCAAGGCCCGGCTTTTGACCGGGCCAGGGAGGGGGCAAAGCTCAGCCCCTGACTAGCCCCTCTCTGTTGGTCCAGTGCATATCTCCAGGATTGGTGGAGACACAGTTTGCCTTCAAACTGCACGACAAGGATCCTGAGAAGGCAGCTGCCACCTATGAGCAGATAAAGGTGGGGCCTCCCTCTGGGCCTGGCAATCCCCTCACTCCCTAAGTGAAGGCAGAGAGTACTCTGGCCTTCACAGCTCCCCCACTTCTAACCAGCCTGTCTCCCTTGTGGAGTATGGGGGTGGGAGTGTAGAAGCTGGAAAGGACCAGGACCTTGGTGATGGGAGGGAACTTGGGTCCATTCGGTCCTCATCTCACACCTTTACCCTGATGCTCTCAGTGTCTCAAACCTGAAGATGTGGCCGAGGCTGTCCTCTACGTCCTCAGCACCCCCCCACATGTCCAGGTGAGTCTGGCTTGACTGTCTACCCCTGGAGGAATACAGCCAACCCCAGAGAAGGAGAGCAAGGGGGCCTTAAAGGGGTGGGGAGAGTATCTTGCCTGAAGTCTTGTGCCTTCTGCAGATTGGAGACATCCAGATGAGACCCACCGAGCAGGTGACCTAGTTTCCTGTGGGGAGCTCCTCTCATCATCCCTCATGACTTGGTTCCTGCCTCTGATTTTGGGTGTTGATTTTTGGACCCCTGGAGTCTACTTCTTCTCCCTGCTCCCACTAGGAACTAGCAAATTTATTTGAGGTTTTTATATTTTGTCATTGTTTCTACTATGAATGTGAAAAGTTGGCTGGGGAGAGGAGGTGGTGTCTGGTTGTTTTACCTGTTAACTTGTTCTTGGTCCCCTTCTTGGGCTCCTTGGCCCTTGTTTGCTCTTCTTGGTCTCTTTCCTTTAACCTGGGGGAAAGACAGTGGCCCAAAACAGGGCTTTCCCCTATCGTCTTGCACCTTGCCCCAGCCCCTCAGGGATTAGGTGACACAGAGATGCCCTCACCTACCTGCATGGTTATTCGGGGCTCCAGGCCTCCTCCTTTTCCTGCCCCGCTGCCCCCACTGCCCCTTCTCTCCCCCTTCCCAGTTCTCTAGCCCAATCTTGATTTCTCTGTCTCCTAGTGGGGTCATCACTCCGCTCTGGCTATAGCAGCAAAATAGGAGGGCCTGCCTGCCAAGTGGATTTCACTATGATAATTAAAAAAGACAAATTGTTAACAACCAACCATGGCTTCAGGAGTGCCTTTCATTCTTCCCCCTTCTGTTTCCAGAGTGCTTCTGTCAGAACATTTACAGGTGGGTGGAGAGGGCATCAACCCTAGATCACCTTAGGTAGCAGGAATGGACTTGGGTCTTGAAAACAGGTAGGAGTTTGCCAGCCAGAGAAAGAAGACACATGTGCATGTCTTTGAGGCACAAAAGAACATGTAGTGTGCCAGCAACATAAGAACTAGTGCAGGAGTGAGGTGGGGCTGATCAAGTAGCTCCTACCCAGATTATAGGGGTCTGAGTGCTGAGAAGTCTAGCCATTTGCAGGACAAGTGTGGCCAAGGGCACCAGTTGGTTGGTCAGCCAGTGCATACAGAGCTGTCGCCAGAGCCTCAGAGGCCATTGGGTAGGAAGTTATTGCTAGGAACCTGCTGTCTGAGGTGCTGAGAGGTTCACAGACAGTAGAAGTGCAGAAAGGGGCTGATGCAGAAGCTTCTGAGGAAAATCACTAGCCCCTGGTGGTGGACTGGATATGGGGAGAGACACCAGGACTTAGCTGGTTGAACAGGAGAGCCCCTCAAGTGCCCCTTGATGGTGCCTGAATGAATGCCGCCCTCCAGCCTCCAGGGACCACTAAGGCTCAGAATGCAGGTGGAGAAAGGTCAGCAGCAGCGCCCCTGCCAGGCTAGCGGCAAAGAAGCGGAGGTCGCCGCGCAGGCCTCCCTGCAGGGGGCGCTGCGGGGCCTCCTAGCGGCCGGGCGCGCGCCTGCGTCTCCCGGGCGGGGCGGGGCCAGCAGAACGCGGAAGTCGCTGCTCGCGCGGGGTCGGGCCGCGGTCATTTGGCTGCGGCTTCTGGGCCGTGTCCGGGCCGCGGGTCCTGGCTGGCGGCTCTTCTGAGGTGTCGGGGTGGGGGAGCGACGGGGGCCCCCACACCCGTGCCAGGGGCCCAGGACCGGCCCTCGGCGGGGTGACCGCTCCCGGGGACGCCGCGGCGGCTGCGGTCATGGCGCTGCCCGCGGTCCTCGGGGCCGAGGCGCGGCGTTGCCCCGGCCGCCTCGTCGCGCGTCGTTTCTCTCGAGCGGCGCGCTGTGGGGCGAGGCCGGGCGGAGAGGAGCTTAGTCGCCTGCGACTGGATGACCTGGCGCCCACCCCGCGGCCGGCGCGGGGGCTGGAGCTGCTGTACGGCCTGTCCCCGTGCCTCCTGGCTCTGCAGGCCGGGCGCCGCCGCGTGGCGCGGCTCCTGCTCCAGGCCGGCAAGTCCGGGCTGCAGGGGCAGCGGGCGGAGCTGCTCCGGGCCGCCGAGGCCCGGGACGTCCCGGTGCTGCGGCCCAGAAGGCAGAAGCTGGACGCCCTGTGCCACTACCAGGTCCACCAGGGCGTCTGCATGGAAGTGAGCCGGCTGCGGCCCCGACCTTGCGCCGAGGTCGCTGTGGCGAGGCCCCGTGACGACCCCCAGCAACTGTGGCTCATCCTCGAGGGGCTTCAGGATCCCCGGAATCTTGGGGCCGTGCTGCGCTCCGCTCACTACCTCGGAGTGGATAAGGTCGTCACTAGCCGGAGAAACAGGCACGGACGTCTCTTTCCGCCCCTCTCCACCCCCCCCCCCAGTACCCTAATTTGGAGGCACACCGAGTTCCTAAGCACCTTGACCCTTGGGTGGTCCTTCAGCCTGGTTTCCCCATCCCAGAGTTTTCACCCCTAACCCTTGGGAGCTGGGGAGGGCAGAGCATGCCAACCTCACGCCCGGCGTGGGGAAACTTTGCAGCTGCCCGCTCACTCCGGTAGTCAGCAAGGCCAGCGCGGGGGCTATGGAAGTGATGGACGTGTTCTCCACTGACGACCTGGCCGGTTTTTTACAGGTAATGGGGAGAAAGGACGGGGAGAAAGAAGCAGAGACGAGACAAGTTCAGCCTCTCCAAAGGCTCTCAGCTGGCAGTTGGTTGGGGGCAAGGAGAGAAGGGGCTATGTTGGCAGACCTAATTCTCCTAAACCCCTTTTGGAAGGGAATTTGGAGTTTTAAAAACCTCAAGTGGAGCAGAATCTGAAGTTAGGGACTTTATTCCCTTTACTGGCCTCCTTCCCCAGGCTTACCTGTTTGCCCCTGTGCCTCCTTGTAAATGTGAACTGTGGACTGTGGACAGCAGGCCTGGGCTCCTGCACTATGAACACAGCTTGGACAAGGAGTAGTCTGTGCCTGCCCCATTCCCCTCCCCGCCAACACACACACAAGCAAACAAAATTTTCATATCTAGGAAGGGTAAACCTGAGTAAGAAACCTCCTTTGGGCCTTGTTTATCTTCAGCTGTGCTTCCTTTTCTGGGCACAAGGGGGCAGTATTGCCTTGCCTTTGGCAGCTCCCCTGACCATCCCCTGGCCTCCCAAATCTGTTCTTACATCTCTTTTTTATATATATTTCTAGATATAGGAAACATACATAAATACACATATACGGATATATATTCACTTCTTGTGGTCTCATCCAATCTCACGATGACTTTAAATACTAGCTATATTTGAATGCCTCCCAAATATATATCCTAGCCTGGATCTTGCTCCTGAACCCCAGATTCACATACCTAGTTGACTACTTTACAGCTCTTTTTTGCTGTTGAATAGGCACACATTTCCAGTGCCAAGCACCTGTTCCTTCTGCAGACTTAACCCAGTTCAATAGATTGCAATTCCATCCCTTCAGGTTTAGACCCAAAACCTTGATATCATTCAAGTTTGATTCTTCCTGCCCTCACACCCTCTGTGCTTTGTGTTTTACCTTGAAATTAATTCCATTTCTCATGACCTCCACTCCGAGCACTCTGGCTCAAGCCCCCATCAGTCTCCTGCCTGTACTCTTGCAGAAACCTACTTGTCTTGCTTCTGTTAATAGTTCTTAACCAACACAGAATGCAGAGTGGTTCTGCTGAAACATAAATCAGATCTTGTTATTCTTCTGATCAAAACCTTTCAGTTTTTGCATCTCAGTAAAAGCCAAGGTTCTTCCAGTGGCCTTTGAGACCCTACCTTACGTGGTCCTTTGTTCCCTCTCCTGTCCCAGTGGCTCCCTTCCCACTGGCCACTTTGCTGCTCTGCTGTTCCTCACACATACCAGGTAAGCACCTGCCTTTCAGCCTTTGCATTTACTGATTCTGCCTAGAATGTTCTTCCTCCAGATGTCTACACAGTGGTCCTTCATCTTTATTTCTACACTCAAAAGTCACTTAAGTGCGACCTTCCCTGAACATCCTTCCAGGAGGCTGGGCTTTTGTCTTGCTCTCTGTTCACCGCCCTGTCCCCGATGCCTAGCGCAGAGTCTGCGCATGCCAGGTGCCTCATGACTGCTGGCTGAATTGCATGGGTCAACAAGGAAGTGAATATGTGGGCAAGGCCAGGCTACTCCTTGCCCAAGGCTCTCATGAAGGTTTAGCAAGCTAGAAAGCTAGAGTGTGATTTCTTTATCCCCTTTTCAGGCCAAAGCCCAGCAAGGCTGGCTTGTAGCTGGCACAATGGGCTCCCTGGAACCCGAGGCTTACCACTCCTCTGAGATCCCCATCACAAGTTGCTTGGAGTTCCTGTGGGACCAGCCTACTCTCCTGGTGCTGGGTAAGTGGGTAGCCTTATTTTTCTGCACAGATGTGCATTTCCCGAGCACCTGATGACCAGCTGGGACATCCCTAACACTGCGCCCCTGTGCCCTGTAGGGAACGAGGGCTCTGGTCTGTCCCCGGAGGTGCAGGCCTCCTGCCAGCTTCTCCTTACCATCCTACCTGGACGGCAGCTACCCCCTGGATTTGAGTCCTTGAATGTCTCTGTGGCTGCAGGTGAGTCTACCCTCCCTTCCCTTTACACCCTCCGTAATCTTTCATCCTAAACATGTTTCTCGATCTTTCTGTGTCTCAGTTGCTTTACGTGCAGAATGAGGAAAATGAACCCTTTTGAGGATGCAGTGAGGGAGAGCCTGGTATGTGTCAAGGGCGCCATACCCAGTCCTTCCTCTGTTCATTCCTCTTTCTTCCCCTTGTCCTTCTGTCTGTCTTCGCAGGAATTCTTCTTCACTCTATTTGCAGCCAGAGAAAAGGTTTTCCTGCAGAGGGGAAGAGAGGACAACTTCTCCAAGAATCCAAAGAACCCTCAGTGACATGTGAAAGGCCCAGAGTGGCTCAGGACCCTGGACTGTCTTCTGGTTCAGAAAAAGAGAGGCAAGATGGAGGCTGACTCGGACTGTCCCAGGTGTGTGTGCTGGGCGGCACACATCCACACGCTCGAATGTGCCAGAGTCTCTTGCTTGAGTGTGCACCCGGGTCCCTATTAACCACTGTCTTGGGTAGAGAACAGGGGAAGTTCAGTCTCCTGTTTTTATTTTGGATAAGCAGTTGGAGATGTTAGCTTCTTAATTTCCAGGGTGTGCTAGGATATAGGGTCTCTTTCCTCCAGGAAGTCAAGGGAAAGTCTAAATGTCTTAAGATAATCTGGCAGCCCAATCCAAGGGTCCTGTTCCTCTTGAATCAATGTGAGAATGTAGAGGGAAGCTTCTGGCCCTTGAATGGGCCAGACAGGTGTAAATACACGCTCCAACCCTTCCCTGTTTTACTGTCTTAAGTACAAGGCTTCATGTTTGCATGTCCCGGGGCCCTTGTCTGCCTCTCCCTCCCAGGCAGTTGCTAGGATCAAATAAAACATCACCTAGTAAGTATCCAGCAGCCAGTCAACCCTTCTGTTCTGTTCAAGTCTTCCAGTAGGTGGCAGCCTTGCTCTTTGGTCCACCGTGTCTTGCATTATCACAGGTAACTGGGGAGATATCCTGATTGCAGCCCCTAGAGAAGCAAGGGAAAGAGGAACAGACACCTCCCACCCATTGGCTCTCCAGTATCTCCCAGTGGTGACTCAGTCAGTCCACCTGCATGGAATGAGATGATGAACCAAAGCCCTGGCCTTTGATTCAGTGAGGTGGTGAGGACAGAGATGCTGTTTATTGTATGACCCAGACAGATTTGGTTCTCCACAGGGTCCCACAGGTAGATCAGAAGCCACCAGCATAAGTAGAGAGCAGTTTGACTCTCTCTGGAACCACCCGGCAAGATTAAAAAAAAAACTCTGGGGACCGCCCCCCAGAGTGTCTGGCATAATCAGTGAGGGTACAACATGGGTGTCAGGAATTTTGAAACCTTCCTTCCCTGAAGGGCCTAAGGTATAGCCCATGCTGAGAACCACTAGAGTGGGGTTTCTCACCCTCAGCGTTATTGACATTTGGAACCAGGTCATTCTTTGCTGTGAGGGGCTGTGCTGTGCATTATAGGATGTTTAGCATCATCCCTGGCCTCTGTCGCCACAGGATGCCAGTAGTACCCTCCTCTGCCCTGTTGTTACAACCAAAAATGTGTCCAGACATTGCCAAATGTTCCCTGGGCCACAAAATCACCCCTAGTTGAAAACGGCTGTGCTGGAGTGTGGGTTGGGAAGACAGAAGCCCTAAATTCACATCCTGGTTGCTGTATGTCCTGGGCAAGTTCCTTACCAGCCTGAGCCTCAGTGCCCTCCTGTTAAGGAGGTCAGTCAACCATCCTGGGTGGCTGGGAGGATAGAGAACACGATTAGAACCTAGTGCCTCATGCATAGTAGGTACTCAATATAGTGCCACCCTTTTCTCTGTTGAATGAGTTGATCTTGGAATTTTAATGATGATGCCAATGTAGAAAGACATTTAAATTAGCTTCAAAAGGGCTTAGAGTACTTATTTGGTTTTGTTTGTTGGTCTTTGTGTTTTTATAGTGTAAAGGTTATTTTTGTTTTATTTAGTTCATCTGTTTGTGTGGTGTCTGTATATACTGTGTGAGTGAAATAATACAGTGTTTGCTAAGATTGCTTTTTTTTTTTAAGATTTATTTATTTATGCATACAAGATTTGGGGTGCAGGACAGAGGTGTGGGGGGTGGTGAGAGGACTTACCAGAGACAGAGTGGGGAGCAGAACAGGCAGATCCACTGAAAGACATGTTAAGGGGAGGTGTGGGGAGGCAGGAGAGGTCTGCTGCACCATGTGGGTCAGCTCCTTGGCTGGGGATCGAACTCATGCCACAGTGGCTGACAATAGCTTGATAGGGCTGAGACTAAATCCCTGCACCACCAGGGAGGCCTAAGATTGCCTTGATGTCAAAGTCTGCCCTCTAAGAAAGGAGTGAACACCTTCATCAGCTCCATGGATCACTACTGCATCAGTCTCCAGTGAGCTGTCTGCTGGTGAGCTCTCTGTCCCGACCACCTCCCCTACTGGCTGCACTGTTGGCCCAGAGCCTCGTGTGGCTTTGACCTTGGCTGTGCTTAGAGTCATGGGGTGAAGGAAGGGGATAGCTAGCTTTTCATATTGCAGATGCCTAGGGGCACCGGGCCAGTTAGATCAGACTCTCTGGGGAAGGAGCCAGGTGCCAGCATTCCTTAGGGCTCCTCATTTGGTGTGGTGTGCTGCCAGTTTTGGGAATCATTGACCATCAAGCCATGGCTCCTGTCCAAGCAACTGCTTCAGATCACACATGCTGAGCATAGGTCACACACCTTTGAGCATAGGTCTGAAGACCTTTCTTCTAGCCCCAATATTCTTACAAAAATGCTGCTTTTAGCCTTGGCTCCAGGGCTCCCCACCTGGGTGGTTTCTCAGTTTCCTTGGTCTGCAAAATGGGAACAAGTGTCTTCAATGCTCAAGCAACCTCTCTCTCAAGTAGAAGCTATAAAGATAAAATGAGGCTGGACCAGTGCAAAGTGTCCTGTATTGAAGGGCTGTGCACCCTGGCACTAGGTCATGGTAATACAACGTGGATATGATGCTTCAGTCTTTGTGTCAGCTGGACTGGGCTACCAGGCGCCCACAGCTTGGTCAGCTATTCTGAGGGCTTCTGTGAAGGTGCTTGCTCTGACAATTGACATTTAAGTTGGTAGACTGAATGTAAAGCAGATTGCCTTCCTTAAAATGTGGGTGGGCCTCATGTAATCAGTTGAAGGTATAAGTAGACCAAAATGTCCGACCCTCCCTGTAGCAAGAGAATTATTCCTGCCTTTTGCAACTGCAACATGGGCTTTTCCTGGACCCCAGGCCTGCTGGCTATCAGATGGGAACTATTTATTGGGGGATTCTGGGTTTCCAGCTTGCTGACCCCCCCCCCCTTTGCTTAACTGGGAACTTGCTACCTCCATAATCTCACAAACCAATTCTCTCTCTCTTTTTTTTTTTAACATTATTTATTTATACAAGCACTGGGTACAGTCAGAAGCATGGGAGGGTGACAGAATTCACCAGAGCCAGAGCAGGGAACAGAACAGGCAGACTGACGAAATACACTGTTGAGGGGAGCAGCGGGCATGGCAGGAGAGGTCTGTGCGCCATGTGGGACCCTCGCCGGTGGCCAGGGATCGAACTGGCACTGTAGAGGCTGCGGATGCTTCGCAGCCCAGCGCTCAACTGCTGTGCCACTAGGGGAGGCCCGCCAATTCTCTTTAATACATAAGTAGGTGTGTGTGTCCTTATGGATCTGTTTCTCTGGAGAACCCAGACTAATAATAGAATTGGTGAAAATGAACCCAGAACTCAGGTGTCCCTGGTATTCTCTTCATGTGGGGGTATAGAATCAAACTCTCCTCTCTGGGGTTAAACCCAGCCTTGAACCTAGAAGATGGGTTTGGGGGTACTCAGGGTCCAGAGCCACCATTCCTGCCTACAGACTCCTCCGTGGCCTCTGGAACCCTGTCTTACCTGCTTTGGCCACACAGTTCAGCTTCTGTGCCATCTGGAGAAGCCACTCTCTGGGGCTAATCACCAAGCACAGGGGGGCCCCCGACTTTCCCTCCTGGCCAGCAGGCCACTGGCCTCTTGGAAGATAGGTTCACTTGAAGCCAATGAATCCAGCCTGTAGTTACAAGCCACGCACACCTGGGTGTGTAGTTAGTTATGTGTGTGCAGTTATGTCAGCAAACCAGACATCCCCCAAACAAAGAGAAAGTCCCTGAGGCCTTCAGGCCATGGATGACATATGTCAACCTCAAGTGGTCTCTGGTGCCCAGTGCAGTGCCTGACACAGAGACGCTGCTCAGCAAGTGGGGTTAAGTACTCAGGAACCAGGGTGGTTCTGGCTGTGTATATGGGGTGCTGGGTGTCCAGTCTCTGCGGGGCAGGTTTGGGCTAAAGTCAGGAGAGAAAAGTGGTGGTTAAGAGCATGACCCTGCCTGGTTGACCGAGTTCCAGCTCTGCTGTAAGAGGACATTCACTTCACATTCCCAGGCCACAGTTTTCCTTATCTATAAAATGGGGGTACCGATAGTGTCCTCTTGGGAGAATGTTGGGGGAGATTAGATGAGATCCTACATGGAAAGCCCTTAGCCCTGTGCCTGGAGGAGGATGGCAGCTGTTACCGGCAGCTCCTGGCGCTGACCTGGCCACTAGGCACAGGCCTCTCTGTCCTAGCAAGCTGCCATCAGCTCTAGGCCCCTTTTAGCTGCAGAAGACAATGATTTACCCCTGAGGGCAGCTGGAACCACTGAGAGGGGGAGAGTTAAAATGACATTTATAGGATCCTCCTTTGTCAGGTCTCCCAGCCACCAGGGAAGGGTCTCAGAAATTTTGGCTCTGACTTGGTATTCTCAGAGCAGCTGATTTGTGGCTGCACCCCTGTCCGCCCCCTCCAGGGCTGCAATATATTTTTTTTTTTGGCAGTAGGCTAAATTGCCAGCTCCCTCCCCCAGGCTGGGGTCCTAAATTAGACCCCTGCCTCCCCACTCCTGCAGAGCCAGGCGCCAGGGAGCCCCACAGTTTGTAAATGTAATCAACCTTGAGGTCTCTGACTTCCACAGGTGCAATTAGCATGCCCATCTGCTAATCCCTGATTAATGATGTTTACAAACACGGGGCTCCATTTGCAGTGCTGCTCTGTCCCTCCTTCCTGGGGCCAAAGGGGGTGTATCTTCCTAACAACCATCCCTCCCTTCACACTCCCCCCCACACGCTTCTTCACACCTCCCTAGCTAAGCCCTTCTCCAGCCCCTACTCCGAGCAGTGGTCAGGGCTGAGGTCCCTCCTTGAGCCCCACCCAACTTTCTCATGGCACTCATGTGGAAAGGACGCCAGAGAGCACGCAGGAGATTGCGGCTTGGTGAGAGAGCAAGGGTCCTGCTAGCTTTCTTCCCAGTTCTGGAACTTCTAGGACACATGGTATGCGAGTTGCTGGTATTCCTCAGACAACTGCACCCCAGGCCTCGTGTACCTGCCTCTGCATGGAGGTGTGAGCCTTCTCCAGTGCTCCAAGTGTTGGGCTTCCCCACCTGTCTCCAGGCAAAAGCTTTCCCACCCCCAATCACTCTCCTGCTGATGACGTACAGTAGCAAAAGCATAACACAGACTTCTGAGTCGGTCCCAGGCCAGACATTGGTTCTCCCTCAGGCCTCTTAGTCAGATTGAACCTCAGTTTCTTCATCTGTAAAATGGCGATAAGGATAGTACCTACTGTACAGGCTGTGGTGAAGATTAAATACCAGATATTTGGAAAGGACTTAGTGTCTGGGACGCAATAGGTGCTCAATAAATGTGACCCTTTTGTTGCCATGAAAACAATACAAAGGATAATGATAATAATGAAAGGAGGTGTCTGAAGCTACAAAGATGCCCAAGGACTCCCCTTTCTCCCCTCACCCCCCTCTCTAGGGAGAAGGGCAGGTTCCAGCTCATTACTGGAGGGGGCTGGGGTGGAGGTGTCAGATTGGAATCACTCCTGGGTCTCTTCGCAGCTTCCCTGTTTCATTAACACCTCCCTGGTGGTCTTCAGCTCATCCTGCTGGGGGAGGTGCTCCAGAAAGTTCTAACTGCCTCCTACCCAGCCCAGAGCTCAATGCTGCCCACTCCGAGCTGAGCTCTGCAGAGGAAGGGTTTTCTGTGCGGGAGAGGCAGCCTCTGGCCAGGGGCTGTCACCATCTCCTCCCCACAGCCCTGGGGTGGGGCATAGCACCTGGGGCTGCCCCTTTCTTTACCTTCCCCCATCAGACTCATCTGGAGGTTTCAGTGTCCCCATCCCCACTGCATCGGGACTTTTTCAACCTCCCATGAGTCACTGGGAAGGTGGCATGCTTTTGGATGCTATTTCTGACCACCCTCTTCCTAGCTTCTTCCTAGCTGGTTGAGTTTCTTTTTTTTGAGATTTACTTATTTTATTTATTTATGCATACAAGAACTGGGGTATAGGCCAGAGGTGTGAGACCATTCACCAGAGACAATGGGGCACAACAGGCAGATCTACTGAAATACACTGCTGAGGGGAAGCAGTGGGCAAGACAAGGAGGGTCTGCTGGGCCATGTGGGTCAGTTCCTTGGCCTGAGATCAAACTCATGCTGCAGTGGTTGGTGATAACTTGATACAGCTGAGACTTAACCCCTGAGCCACCAGGGAGGCCCCCATAGCTGGATGAGTTTCTAAGGCTAGTTACTTCCTAGGGCATTCTGATGCCTCTTTAAAATGAGGATACCATACCTCCAGCCGGGAAACCAGTGCCTTGTAAGTTGTAATAACAGCTATTGTTATTTTACAGGCACAACTGCACTCAGAATGATCTTTTTAAATCACAGAATCTTTTTTTTTTTTAAGACTTTTTTTTTTTAAGATTTATTTTTATTTATTTATACAAGCACTGGGTATAGTCAGAAGCCCGGGAGGGTGAGAGAATTCACCAGAGCCAGAGCGGGGAGCAGAGCAGGCAGAAGGACCGAAGCACACTGCTGAGGGGAGCAGCGGGCAGCAGGAGAGGTCTGCGCGCGCCATGCGGGACCCTCCTCCGGTGACCGGGGAGCAGCAGGGGATCGAACTGGCGCTGCAGAGGCTGCGGGCAGCTTTGCAACCCAGCGCTCAACCGCTGCGCGCCACCGGGGAGGCC